ATTACGGTAGGTTATGTTTGTATAGACTGTATAGGTTCGTATCTTAGAGGGTACAACACTTAGGCTTATACCCTTGTACGCTTTTCTCTCGACATTCAATCCTACGTTAAGAGGGGATGCATCCATGCCTTCTATAAAACTGGCACGCACACGGCCGACACAGGGCTTATGTTATCAGGGCATTTGACCTGACTTGATTGAAATTCCAAGGTAGTTTTTAGACCAACACTGATTTTCTCTGGATTGTTTTTAACCCAGCCTTGACGAAATCCGGGAAGTTCGTCAAGAGACCCTTGAAACTCCGAGAAAATTTTCAGGTGACACTGATTTTTCCACTATCTGCACCCTCCCTCCCCCAGCTCCCCTCCCTCCCCTCACCCCTTATCTCGCACACTCCTAACACCCATCACCAGGGCCTCAGAAGTCAGGCCAAAAAGGCCTGAAAGCCTGTATATCAGGGTGTTTTCTAGGGCATACCCTGATTTTTCAGGGTTTGATTTTTATCAAACCTGAAATTTATGTGTTCCCATTTTCTAAGGCCTGAAAAATAGTATGTTATTGTTTTACCGAGCCTGACGAATCAGCCTTACTCGAAATTCGCCCTGAATCTGAATCTTATCTGCCAAGGCGAGCTAGAGCACGTGTGAGGGGCATGGCTGGTCCTTGACCAGAATCACGCGAGTTCGAGGCGAGGTGGGGCAGGTGTGAGGGGCGTGATTGGTCCTTGACAAAAAATGACGCAAGTTCGAGGCGAGCTAGAGCAGGTGTAAGGGGCGTGATTGGTCCTTGACCACAATCACGGAACTTCAAGGCGAGCTACAACAGGTGTGGGGGGCGTGATTGGTCCTTGACTAGAATTACACAAGTTCCACGCGAGCTGGAGGTGGTGTGAGGGGGTTGATTGGTCCTTAGTTAAAATCAGGCAGGAATCTGACGAGAAGAATTGTACGCAGTGAAGTCTGATCCGACCTAAGAATCAGAAACTACAAAAATGTAGGCCTGATAAGTCAGACTAAAAAAAAACAATTGGCCTGAAAAAACATGCCACGCCCAAAACCCGACCCTGAAAAACATGGGCTCTCACATGGGCGACCCTGAGCAATCAGCCTCCCTAAAACCAATCTGAGGGCCTGCCCGTCACTCTTCTAGGACCTGGCTACCAGGCAACTTATTGGGAAGGAGTGTTAAGACTAGAAAGAATGATTAGAAGAAGGGAGAACAGGAAAGATATAGCATTTGGGTTGTACCCACTAAGAACATACCCTATCTAGCCTATAACTTCTACATAACAATATATGTATAAGTTGACAAGGAGTACTCCCCTCATACCCCTAGAACGCACGCGAATCCAATGTGACGCAAAGCTTGGAACAACCTCAAATAAAATCCGTGGAAATGTGCGCTCGCCGAGCATATTTTTGGCTGGCCCTGACAAAAGAGACTGTATAGCTTCGAACCCAGGGTTTTCATGGTGAAATTTGAAGGGAGCTCTGAGCGTCAGAGCTGTTCAAAAACTAACACCTGATCAGTAGATGATACCGTATTATTCAGCCATCATTTTCACGACCTGATGATGGGTCCCTCCCTTCCGAGCCTGGCTGAGTCCTTTAGGTTTGTTTCCTATCCTCGTTTCTAGCTCCTAGTGTTAAGAATAGAAAGAATGATTAGAAGAAGGGAGAACAGGGGAGATATAGCTTTTGGGTTGCACCCACTAAGAACATACCCTATCTAGCCTATAACTTCTACATAACAATATATGTATAAGTTGACACACCCCCTAGGCTAGATAAGGGGTAGTGCTGAGCAAGAAACATGCAGCTCATGGTGGAACTACTAGTCCAACCTCTAAGGCAGGGGCCCAAAGACCAATCAGCAAGACTACAAGCAAGACAGAGCAAACCAGGGCGGCACTACTAGTCCAACCACTGGAGGAAAAGCCACAAGGCCAGTCTGGAAGGCATGAATAGAAAGGAGTACACAATCAAGGGCCTAGCAAGTGAGAGTCAACAGGGACTAGACCTAACTGCAAGTAGTGCCGCTCATGATCTCTAGGCGGAAGTGCCTTAGTAAAGATATCAGCTGTGTTGGCACCAGAGGCCAAGTGTACTATGCGGGCCTGGCGACGCTGCTGAAGCTCGCGCAGGAGGAAGTACCGCAGCTGGATGTGCTTCGCACTGCCCTCAAGTCGAGGCTCCTAACACAGGAGGATCATGGCCCTGTTGTCAGCGTACAAAACCGGGGCAGAGCTAGGCCGCTCACCTAAGTCGGCAAACAAGAAGGTCAGCCAGCGGAGCTCGTGTGCCGCCATGGCACCGGCATAGATCTCAGCCTCGCAGCTAGACTGAGCAACAGACGAAGAGCGAGTGGACCTCTACGAGATGGCACCAGAACCAAGGCTGAAGCATTAGCCCTGGGAGGACCGGAGGGTCTCAAGTCGTCTGCCCAAGAGTTTCTGTGTGCCCAGTAAGGACCACAGGCCTGCATCCTCTTAGCACTAGCCCCATGCCCGATGCATTTGCAAGATAACGCAAAACCCTCTTAGCGGCCGACCAGTGCTGTGGTCGGTGTCTGCCTGTGGCCACAAAGCGAGCCAGGATGCTGAGAGGGTATGCGAGATCTGGGTGAGTGCAATTCATCAGGTACATGAGGCAACCCACCAGCTCTGCGTAAGGACCACTGGGTTCCGCTGACTCCTCAAGAACTAGAGCTGAGAGCCTGTGGTCTACCGGCAGAGGTGTGGGCTGTGAGGAGGAGAACTGAAGACCGAACCTCTGAAGGACCTAACGCATCAAGTGTGACTGTGTAAGACTGATGGTGCGTGCTGCTCTGTCCCTGGAGATCTGCAAGCCAAGGTAGCGGCGCAACTCTCCCAGGTCAGTGCAGGTGTGTCGCCTCAGCAGCTCAGCCTTCACGGAGGCCAGCACGTCTCTGTCTGCTGTAGCAAAGACCGGGTCGTCTACGTAGACCAGGATGTAGAACGGAGTCTGGCCAGCACGAACAAAGAGCGAAGGGTCAACAGAGGACGGAAAGAAATACAGGTCAACTAGTGTGGCACGCAGCGTGTCGTGCCACTCACGGGGCGCCTGTCGCAAGTCGTAGACGGGGCGCCGGAGGAGCCACTGGGTCCCAGGAGGGAAAGTACCAGTGAAGCCCTGAGGGCGGCGTAGGTAGACTTGCTTGTGTAGGCTGCCATGAAGGAAAGCAGTGGAGAAGTCGAGGGAGCGAATCTTGTAGTTACGCTGCTGCTGCTGCTGGGACGGCTGCTGCTGCTGCGGCGGCTGCAACTGCGGCGACTGCTGCTGCTCCTGGGCACCAGCACCAACCCCCTCGTCAGAACCACTGTCCCCGCCACCACCACCACTAGCGCCACCTCTACGTCCTCCGTTGGAGCCAGCGCCGGGGCCGCCATGGCAGGTACGCCGCAGCTGCTGTCTCAGGTGCAGGCCTAGTCGTGGCAACTGCGGCAGAGACGTCAGCATACGTGCACTGGGAGGGTGCACAGCCCTGAAAGATAGGGACTGCCGCAACATCGCTCGACTTAGCGATAGTGCGCTGGCGAGTCTCTATCTCAGACAGAGTAGTGACAAAGGCGGTCAGGGTGAGGTCGGCAAGGTGCTGACTAAGGAAGTGGTCGCGGGCAGTGGCTAAGCGGTCAGGCAGGCGCATGGCGATGACGTGCAGGGTAGCGCAGAAAGGTGGGGGGAAGGCAGTAAGCTGGGCGGCAGAGCTAGCACCGCGGTAGCTGGTCTCTAGTGCATGGAGGTGAGTAGCGAGGTCAGCTACCGTGGGGAAAGCAGAAAGATCAGGGAAGAGCATGGGTAGGATCAAGCGGCCAGCAGAGGCGGAAGCAGGTGTGGAGTAACGATTAGCTACTGTAGCGAGAAAGGCCTTGGCGTTCGCGACAGCGGTAAAGCGCGGACGCTCAGACAGGGGGAGGGCATGGCTAATGGCAAGCTGGGCTACTGCGTCACGAGAATCCCCGACAGCTCGAGCAAGCGCAGCAGTAGCAAAAGCCTCGCTCTTAGCAGTGGTAGGGTTAGCAGGGAGGGGATCAGGCGCAGGGGGGCGGGGAAGCAAACCATCAGCATGCATGGCCAGGGAGTGCCCATCTTGGCGCCGAACTGTCAGGTGCCGGCAGAGGTCGACGAGCCAGGCGGCGAAGTCGATCGCATGCCCCTCGGCGTCCAAGCGAAGAACGGCGTCCGCCATCGCACAGTGTGACAGCGGCATAGCGGCTCAGCGGCGCAGCGACTCGGCGGCTCGGCGGCTCGGGGACACGGCGGCTCGGCGGCGCGGGTGCTCGGCGGCTCAGGGACACGGCGGCTCGGCAGCTCAGGCGACGAGGCCGGCTAGGACGCAAGGGGCCGGCTAGGGCACAAGGGGTCGGCTAGGGCGAGCGGGGCCTGCAAGGGCGCGTGGGGCTGGCTAGGGACGCGGGGGGGGAGGGGGGGGGGGGGGGGGGGCGGTAGGAGCACGAGGGGCCGTAGGGGCGCAAGGGGGGCCGGCTAGGGGTGTGAGGGGCCGTAGTGGCGCGCGGGGCCGGCTTGGGGCACGACAGGGCCGTAGGAGCGCGACCGGGCCGGTAGGGGCGCGACGGGGCCATAGGGTTGCGACAGGGCCGTAAGGGCGCGACGGGGCCGTAGGGGCGCGACGGGGTCGTAGGGGCGCGACGGGGCCTGCTAGGGGCGCGACGGGGCCTGCTAGGGGTGTGACGGGGCCGTAGAGGCGCAACGGGGCCGTAGGGTCGCGACAGGGCCGTAGGGGCGCGCGGGGCCAACTAGGGGCGCGAGGGTCCGGTAGGTGGCGGCACGGGGCGGAAGCAGGTGGGTGGACCTACCTACTCGTGATACCATGTTAAGACTAGAAAGAATGATTAGAAGAAGGGAGAACAGGAAAGATATAGCATTTGGGTTGTACCCACTAAGAACATACCATATCTAGCCGATAACTTCTACATATCAATATATGTATAAGTTGACACCTAGGCCATTGTTTTTGCCTTGTGATTGCTCTGCTTATTCATGTAAGGTTCCTCAATATATGTATGCTGCTTAAAAGCTTTTCAAACCTATCCGTGGTAGGTACTGTAGTCTGGAACCAGAACGGCACTGACCCATGTGGTCAAGGGGAGTAGTTTCAGCACCATGCACTCCCAAAAATCACCTACAAATTGAAGGACCAGACCGGAGGATGGCGGGGTCAGTAGAATAACTGAGAGGAACGCCTGCCAACGAGATTTCTTTTGAGGCGCCTCGAAAGGAACGCCTGACAACGAGATCAGTACCACGTGCTACAACTGAACACTGAACTTCTCCTCGAACCGCGTGTCAGTGCAGGCAAGGAACTGAGACACACACACAACTTTCACCGGTCGCTGCGATTTCGCACCTTCCAGCTCAAAAGCATCACTTGCCATAGCCACACGGCCCACACCCTCCTGGCTCCCCTGGGAAGCCCCCACCCCCACTGCGAGTCCAGTTCTCTCCAACTCATGCTGATTTCCCTTCACCTCATTTTGAGGCGCCTCAAAAATCACCTCATTGTCACCATTCCCCACCTGCACTTCATCCTCCTCCTCTTCCTCCTTTCCCCCCCCCTCCCGCTCCTCACACACCTGGCCCTCCTTCCTTCCCCCCATCCCAGCTCCTGCCCCATCCGCTCTCTCCTTTTTCCCCCTCTTTTGAAGCATCACCTCCCTATGCGGCGCCACCACATAGCCCAGCCGCAGCAGCGCCACGTGTCGCCGCCTGATTCGCCAATCCAGGTTGAACCCGAGGAAGGCAGGGCAGGCAAGCACCTCCATTATAGAGAGTCCCATGTCCCGCTTTAAGTACTCCACCTTGTGCCTCATGTTCCCCTCCCAACTGTAATAGATGCACTGCGGGGCCTTCACTGCCAGATTCACCACCAGCTGGCGTGCCCTCTCTCCACCAGCCCTGCTTTCAATCCCTTCCTGTGCTGCTGCATTTCGAGACCGAAATCCCATGTCCCGCAGCTTCCCCTCATCTATTCCACCTTCCCGCAACCCTCCCTCCGGACCTTCACCCGTCCCACTTCCGTCCAGTGCCTCTTCCATTTCCCTCACCAGCTCTCTGAAACTCTCCCTCATCGTCTCTTCACTGGAAGTCAGCAGCAGCGGAAACCGTGCCACGGCACGTGCAGCATTCTCCTGCCCTAGCAGACCACCCAAAACCGCCAGCTTCCTTAGCAGATTCTCCTTGGAAAGAGTCAGAACCAGCGGGTGGCTCCGCACCACCCTCCCCGCAGCCTCCTCCCCCACCAGCTCCACAAAGAGCTGGAGCTTAGCTAAGAGATTCTCTGAGCCCAGGTTGAGGATGGAGGGCGCGTGGCGGAGAGCGGGGATGGCGATGGAGGGGCTACCCGGGGGAGTGAAGGACTGGAGGATGGCGAGGTTTGTCGAGATGCGCTCGGGAGAGGAAAGGAGGATGCGAGGGTAGTTTAGGAGAAGTTTCGTCAGGTGGTTTTTGTCCAGGCGTTGCCGATTCAGGCGCTGCGTCAGGTGCTGGTTCAGGTGCCCTGTGCTACTGCTGCTATCATCTCCCTCTACCTCCTCTTCGTACTCATCTGTTAAGTAGGCTGACAGTAACTCGATCCGACCCTGTATGGACTCCTCACTCCGGCACAAAACATTCGGGCACCTCTCTATAATCACACCCAGCTTCTCCACAGGAACCCCTGCCCTCTCCACCAGGGTGTCCAGATTCGTTGAACGAGCCTGCGTGCGGATGAGGAACGGCGCGCCTCGGACCACCGAGCCTAGCTTGGTTCGGCGGACACCCCGAGCCAGGAGAAACTCAATCGTTTCCTGGATTTGAGGGAGGGAGCTTCGGAGCCAGGACGCGTCGGTGATGGTGACGTGGACAATGTCGGCATGGGATACGCCGTATGACTGGAGAAGGTGGACACGTGGCAGCAGGTCATTGGAGGGATCAGAGCGCAGGAGTGCGGGGTGGGAGGCAAGGAGGGAGGCGACAGTGGAAGGGGAGGAGATGCCGAGGTGGGAGGAGAAGAAGCGGTAGAGGGAGAGGAGGGAGGAGGGAGATACCGCCCGGCGGTGCAAGGTGGAAGAGGGGGGAGAGGGGGGAGAGGAGGGAGAGGAGGGAGAGGAGGGAGAGGAGGGAGAGGAGGGAGAGGAGGGTGATTTAGAATGGATTGTAATAGTCGGCAGTGAGTCACCCTCAATCTCTTCCAATTCCTCCTCCGCCTCTCCCACTTCCTCTTCCTCCCTCCCTTTCCCCTCCTCCCCCTCCTCACCCGCACCCTCCGCACCTTCCGCACCCTCCGCACCCTCCGCACCCTCCGCACCATCCGCACCCTCCTTCCCTTCTTCTATCTGCCCTTCTTCCCTCTCCCCAATCACGATTTGAGGCCCGAACTTCCCTCTCAGCACATCTGCAATCACTGCCACTGCCTCCTCCTCACATTCTCCCTTCACTCTACTCTTCCTTCCTCCTCCTCCTCCTCCTCTCTTTCCCCACGATTTCCCCCCTCGTCTTGCCACCTCAACTGCTGATTGGGTCTCAAACCCTAAAACCGGAACCTCGGCCGCTGGAGCCGCTGCTGGTCTCGAAAACTCCTGCGCTTGACACCTTGCTGCCAACCTCTGGTCGCGAGTTCGAATCCTGACAACGGCGTGTTGCGCAGAATTGTTCGATCGGCTGGATCCGAACCGGGCCGAGCTCGAGCAGGAGGTCTGGAAGGCAGGTGTGGAAAGTACAGTACTAGATTGCTTCGAGAGAGAAGAGCTTCTAACGTGCTTCCAATGAGGAGGAGACACATGTACCGTCGCGTAGGAAGACTGCATGTTGGTAACAGTAACTCTACTGGAGTCCTTCCGATAAGAAGACCCGTTAGTAGGCGCATAGGAAGAAGAGTGCATGCTGCTAAACTCGGGCTTTAAACCGCGAAGCACGGTGACGGAGTGACACGACCAGGGGGCATCGCAGGCCATCACGAATCGCGACGACTGCGACGGATCCACCGATCACGAGCAGAACGATATAATCATTGCTCTGACTGGGTAACGGCGTGGAGATCCGGCAGCAAGCCCGCTCTCCGTCAACGCATGATTCGTCTGTTTCTGTTCGTGCGTCGTTTGACTTTCGTGGACCGGAAGCCTCGGGTCTTTCGGCTTCGTGTCTTCTACGTCTAACCCGAAGGTTGACACGAGCCTGGAACGATCCCTAAGAAGTGGCGATGAATAATAATGCACGAAGGGTTGTTGTAGGTAATGGTGTTGCCTAGAGAAATGGCGTGGATGGATCGTGGACTCACTTGGATCCAGATTTCGCCAGTCTTATCAACGAGAGCATCCTGCGGTCGCACGGGCAACTACTTCGCGAACACCTGCGAACGCCTCGCAGGGGAGCTGGACGGGCTGGATCAGCAGGCATTCCTGCGATTTCGCTCCAGCGGACCTTGATTTCTCATTTTGCGATTTTTATTGTGGATCCCTAATGTAGCGCTGAACAACAAAAAACACGCGAGGTCATCACTAAAAAGAGATCCATCAAATGTTTCGTAACGAGCCGTTGCTGACATGTGAAGTGTCAGCAATGCAGAAGTGTCAGTTCTCCCGCCAAATTTAGAACCTTGGGATTGTTCCTCCAAACCCAGCAGGTTTGATGAGACTTCCTGGACCTCTCTTCCGACTTACCAATCCCAGGAGGTTTGTCGCACGTCCCTCTCTCCTCTCTCCATTTCTCCAGATAGAAGCCAACAAACAAACCCTGTGATCCCAGGGGGACTGGAGTCTCGACTCTCGACTTCCTTTCTCATGCTATGCTTGCATTTTTCACCAGTCTAATCGCTCGCCCTTCTCCATTTTGACTAATTTCTCCCGTTTCCTGCTAGTCTCCGGGGTAGTCTTAGTGCTTGTAGACTACTTGCACAAATTTTGAAGTATTTTCGTGCGTAGACTCCTGTTGCCACGTCTCGCTTTCGAATTCGTATAGGCGTTCCGTTAGTATCGCGCCGTACATATAGGCTACTATCGCCGACCTGATCGTTCGAGAGTCGCACAGTCTCGCAGCAGCCGTACGAAACTGCCAACAGCAGCTTAGCGACAGTAACAAGTGTAGGAGCACCACCTTTTCCAGATGTTTAGGAAACCAAGGCTCTTAGCTTGTCGGACTGTCCCTGGAACAGAATAGGCCGCAGGCGACATACCGCTGAAGCAGGAGACATTGCCGTAGTCTATCGCTGAAACAGGAGTCACCGCCGGAGAGAGAGCTCACGCTGAAGCGAGTTTCACCCTGAAGCGACTTTCACGCTGAAGCGTCTGGAGTAGCGAGGAAGCGGGACGAATACCAAGCCTCTTTTGAAGATCTCGCGGCGGGAAAGCGGCGATCTCCAGCGATGATGCCACGTGGCGAAAGGAGAAGGCGAAGGGACGAGAATAGCCTCCGCGGGAAAGCGGCGGCCAGAGAAACGGGTGTGTATTCTGGTGATAGCGAGGTCGCGGGCTCGAATCTCGGTAGGCTTTTACCTTGCACAGGTTCACGCGGTCTCTCAAAGTTGCCTGCGACCGTGAACGAAACGGGTAACCCTTTTGCGAAATGGAACTTTGGCGAGAGCAGATTCCAGTCTAACCATAATTTACGCACCAGTAGGAGCGGAGAGTTGGGAAATGCGTCGCAACATCCACGGGCCAATGTAACAGCCAGCACGGCGTCTGCAGCTGCGGCTGAGATGGACGGCTTAGAGCCGCGTACGTACGGCAGGGAAGATGAAACCCTTCGTACGGAACCTGACACGCATCGTACGCGGTCCGATAACCCTGGCTTAGCTGCCAGCGAGCCGGACAGCTTCTTTTCAGCACAGTCCGATTACGTATCGGGTAGCGGGGAGCGGGTTATAGCGGGGATACGAGACGCGAGGGATGCTGAGGGGGAAATGGGAAGGGTAGAAGAGGAGGTGCAGCAGCGCGCTCGCACGGGCATCGCCGCCGTTGATGCTTGTAATGAAGCGCCTCATAACGAAGAAGCGGGTGTAGAGATGGAAGAGGAAGGGGAGGAGCAAAGTGTAGAGATAGAGATAGAGGAGGAGGAAGAGGAGGTGAATGTGGAAATCATAGAGATTGAAGAAGACGAGTTAAGTGTAGATATGGAGGAGGAAGAGGTGCAGCAGAGCATGCACGCGGGTATGGCTGCCGTAGACGCATTCGTCGGGTGGGATCCAGTGGAAACGGGGATTAGACACTCGTCCCCATGGGACTTCACGGACAGGGGGGGAAGCGGCCCCTCCGCCCCGCGCGGGGCCGGGGACGAGGGGGAAGCGGGGGGGAATGGCGCGGAGGAGGGCCGCGGGGGAGATAACGGGGAGGATGGCCGCGGGGCGGAGGGACCCGAGACTCCCGAGGGGCGCCCTGGCGAATTTGCGTTGGTAGGCGCGCGGGAGGGGGGCGGTAGCGCGGAGGAGGGCCGCGGGGAGGGCGCAGGGGATGGCGGAGAGGACAGTGCGAGGAATAGCGCAGCTGATGGCGGAGGGGTTGGCGGAGGGGATGGCGCAGCGGATGCTGCAGAGGGTCGCGCACAAGGGGAAGGGGAAAGGGCAGGGGAGGAGGGGAAGCAGCGAGGGGGACGCAAGATGGTGGGGAGGGGTAGGGTGGGCAGGAAAGCCGCGGGAGAATCAGCAGGGACGGGGCTGGGAGGTGGGGATGGAAGCATGGGAAACGAGCAGGAGGGGTCAGGGGGAGCAGAAGCACAGGTGGGTGTGACATCCCAGGGGGGAATGCAGCACGAGCAGCAAAGCGAAGGGGGGGAGCAATGCGAGGGAGCGCAGCAAAGCCAGGGGGGTGGGGGGCGGCAGAGCCAGGGGTGGCGGCAAAGCGGGGGCGCACGCCCCAGCCAGCGGAGGGCGCGGCGGAAGGTGGTGCGCACGAGGCAGCAGGCGCGGCTGGGGGTGTCAGTGGTGCGCGAGCTGAGCTTCCGCCGCCTGCTCCTGGACTGGAGCCCGCCCAAGGAGGCGCGCAGGCCCGCCGCCGTGGCTGCTGTGGCGGCCATGAGAGAGGCGGCGGCGGCAGGGGGAAGGGGGAGAGGGAGAGGGGAGCGGAAGGGAAAAGGGGAGGGGAAGGGGAAGGGGAAGGGGAGAGGGAACGGGAAAGGGAAGGGGAGGGGGAATGGGAGAGGGGATGGGAAGAAGGTGGGGGAGGTTGAGCCGGGTGGAGCAGCATCAGGAGCCGCATCAGCGCCAGGCATAGCAACGTCAGGCGTAGCAACGTCAGGCGTAGCGTTAGGAGCAGCATCGGGAGCAGCAGCGGTAACACGAGCAGCAGCAGCAGGCAGGGTAGGCACGTGTAACGCTGCTGGTTCGTCTGGGAGGGTTCCGTTAAGGGGTATAGCGGATGCTTGGGATAGACTGGGCGGTGCTTCACCGAACGCTGCTGCCTCGTCTAGGAGAGCTGCGTTACAGGTTATAGCGGATGCGTGGGATAAAGCGCGCGCTGCTGCAGCAGCAGGGGCAGCAGCGAGAGCGAGGAAAGAGAGGGCGGAGAGGGCTGAGAGGGCTGAGAGGGCGGAGAGGGCGGAGAGGGCGGAGAGGGCAGAGAGGGCCGAGAGGGCCGAGAGGAGAAGCAAGGCTAAGGCCCGAGATGCTTTGTGGGTGAGACGGCAGAGCTTAGAACGAGGGCTGAAGGGGGTGGCGACGAGAGGGGCGGAGGGAGGGGAGAAGGGAAGACCTTGGAAGGGGACGAGGGGGAAGTCGAAAGAGGGAGAGGTGGGAGTAGGGGCGGCACCAGGAGGGAGGTGGAAGAGGGGAGGGGGGGGGAGGCTGGACAGGAGATTGACGCCTGAGGAGAAAGGCAAAGGGATTGTGGTCGAGAGCGACAGTGAGGAGTCAGGGGAGTACGAGGAAGAGTCCGGGAGTGAGGACGCGTGGGGCAATGAGGGCGAGAGTGTTACTGAAGATGCGAGAGAGAATGAGGCAGGGTATGAGAGGGGGACGGGGGCTGTTTTGCCCTGTGGAGTGACTCCGGAATTTATGAAGGTGCTGCTGAGAAAGGGACGGAGGGAGGGGGCAAGGGACAGAGAACAGAGGGAGGGGTTGACTGGTCCCTCTGTTGTAACTTCAGTGTTAAAAAGGGGAGAGAGGGGGGTGAGGGACGGAGGACGGAGGGAGGAAGCAGGCGGTCAGGCCTGTGGAGTGACTCCGGAATTCATGAAGGTGCCGGTTAATAAGGGACGGAGGGCAGGGACACGGGACGGAGGGCGCAATGAGGAGGGGGCTGTTCTGCTTAGAGGTGATCAACCCTGTGGAGTGACTCCGGAATTCATAAAGGTGCTGGTTAATAAGGGACGTAGGGGGGGGAAGGACGGAGGAGGCAGTGGGGAGGGGGCTGGTCCCTCTGCTATAACCCCGAATTTCATGAAGCTGCCAGTGCAAAAGGGACGGAGAGGGGCGGGGGGTAGAGCACAGGGGGGAGTGAGTGACGGAGGAGGGAGAGGGGGGAGGGGCAGAGGACAGAGAAGAGGGAGGTCGGGAGGACGGAGGGGGGTGAGGGCTGGTTTGCCCTGCGGAGTGACTCCGGAGTTTATGAAGGTGCCGCTTAAAAGGGGACGGAGGGGGGGGGCGAGGGACGGAGAACAGAGGGAGGAGGGAGCTGTGCCGACTGGCAGTGCGAGCTCGGATGTGGTGGAGGTGTTATCTGAGGAGGGGGAGAGCGACACAGGCTCTGAGGACGACTTTGCGCTGACTCAAAAGTCGCATATGGTGGAGGTGGTACCTGGGGCGGGGAGGTGCGACACAGGCACCGAGGGTAATTTTGGGTTGACTCCAAAATCACACCTAGTGGAGGTTGTACCTGGGGCGGGGAGGAACGACACAGGTAGTGAGGACGGTGCAGTGGCGGCACTAGGCCCTTTGCCTGATGGTGCCATGGAGGGGACAGAGGGGCATGGTGTGAACCAGGGGGCAGGGAGAGTAGAAGGGAGAGTAGAAGGGAGAGTGGCAGGAGGAGGGGCGGGGAGAGGGGCAGGGAGAGGGGCTGGGAAACGGGAGAAGCCAGGTGGGAATGAGAAGGCGAGGTTGCAGGGTGGGGAGCCTCAGGGTGGGGAGCCTCAGAGTGGGGAGCTGCAGGGTGGGGAGCTGCAGGGTGGGGAGCTGCAGGGTGGGGAGCTGCAGGGTGGGGAGCTGCAGGGTGGGGAGCTGCAGGGTGGGGAGCTGCAGGGTGGGGAGCTGCAGGGTGGGGAGCTGCAGGGTGGGGAGCTGCAGGGTGGGGAGCTGCAGGGTGGGGAGCTGCAGAATGTGGGGCGGCAGGGTGGAAAGAATCCGGATCGGAGTGAGCAGCCTAGGGGCCGAGGTGGGCGGTTGAAGCCATTTGGTAGGAACGGGCGTGGAGGGAGGAAGCGGAAGCGGGGAGAGGTGGGGGAAGGAGCGGGAGCGGATGGGGGGGATGCAGCTTGGTCCGATGAAGCATCGCAGGGTGTGACTGCAGTGAGGGATGCGGCGGGAGAGGATGGGGGAGATGCAGTTGGGGGAGCCACAGGAGCATCGCTGTGTGTGACTGCAGTGAGGGAAGGGGCGGGAGAGGATGGGGGGGATACTGCTGGGACAGTTGAAGGAGCATCTCTGGGTGTGACTGCAGAGAGGGAAGGGGGTGGTTTTGCAGCAAGGGCTGCTGCATTCGGGAGTCCAGTGGATGCCGCATCTCCCATTGCTGCACATGCGAATGCTGCATCCCCTAGTGCTGCACATGCCAACGCTGCCAGTGCTGCCAATGCAGCCAGTGCACCTTCCCCAAGTGCACCTTCCCCCAGTGCACCTTCCCCCAGTGCGCCTGCCACTGCCGACTCGCCACTACCCAGCACGCCCCCTCAGGCCCGCGCACGTTCCCCCTGCTCCTCTCCGCCCCCTCCTCCTGCCTTTCCTCCACCTCCTCCTGCCGCTGCTCCCACGCCAAGCTGCAGAGGCGCGGGCAAGTCTCCCACTCGCAGCCAAGCAAATTCTCCCAAGTCCCCCACTCGCAGCCGAGCAAATTCTCCCAAGTCCCACACGCGTATCCGCAGAGGCCGATCAAAGTCTCCCACTCGCAGCCGTGCCAGTGCCCCCCCCGCTCCCACTCGCAGCGGCGCCAGTGCCCCCACCCCTCCCTCTCGCAGCCGTGCAAAGGCCCCCACCTCTCCCACTCGCAGCCATGCTAATCCTCCTAGGTCCCTCCCGGTTTCACCCACAGCTGCCCCCATCTGCTCTGGCATCACGCACTTGGAGTACTCCAGAAGTGGTGCGCCATCCCTCTCGCTTTGATTGGTTCATGCTATGCCCTTTTCCACCACTCAAAGCCCTTCAAAGCCCTTCAAAGCCCTTCAAAGCCCTGCTTGCATGATGTTTCCCCATGTGCTCTTGCATGGCCCATTCGGAGTAGTCCAGGAGTGGTGTGGCCTCCCTCTCGCTTTCCTTCTTGCGTGCGCCCCCCCCCTCCTCGCACTTATTGTTTCATGCTGTGGCACATTTGTGAGGCGCTTCGCAATTAGTCCCCTCTCGCATTGATTGGGTCACGCTGTTGCACATCCCTTTTGAGTCAACTCAAGAGTCCCTTGCGCTTGATATAAGGTTGGTTTTGAGACGTCTCAAAACCAACCTTATGTCACACTGTTGCACATCTCTTTTGAGTCAACTCAAGAGTCCCTCTCGCTTCTTGCGACCTCCTCCCCACTCGCTTTGTTGCTGCGGGCTAGTGTACCTTCCCTCCTTGTTTCATGTAGTGTACCATGTTTCGTGTACCATGTTTCGTGTAGTGTACCATGTTTCGTGTAGTGTACCATGTTTCGTGTAGTGTACCATGTTCTTTCTCATGTGCTCTGGCATTAGCACTTGCTCAAGAATGGTGCGACCCCCATGCCTCTGCTGCATCCCTTCTCCCTCACTCTGCGTTCCCTCTCCTACTCCCTCTACCCTCAGGTCGCCCTCGCTTCCCCCCCATGGCTTACTGGAAGAACGAGAGGGTCTTCAGCCCAGTGGTAAGTGCTGTGTTGTATGTTATAGTATGGACTGAGGCCTGCCACACGTGCCCCTCTTGCCTGCTTGCCCTGCTTGCCCTCTTGCCTGCCGGTCCTGCTTCCCTCTCACCCTCACACACACCCCCTCGCACTCTGCCCCCTTCAACACGTGCCACTGCCAGGTGCTCGATTGCCCAGCGGTGGTGTTTGGGCAGCCTACCACGCGTGCAGAGGAACTGGAGATTATAACAAAGGGTAAGCGGGTTACCACATGCGTGGTTACCACATGCCTGGTTACCCCAATCCTGGTTACCCCAGTCGTGGTTACCCCCCCAACCAGGAAAATGCAGGAAAGTTTGTTTGTCTGCTCTAATGAGTCTGTGCCACCCACCCTGCCTCCCGCTCTCCTCTGCTGCCTGCCCTGCAGCCTTGTTTGGCGGCCAGACTGCTACCGACGGGAAGGAGCTGGGAGGAATCGAGGAGGAGGGGGAAGGTGGGGAGGAGCGGGAGGGTGGGGTTCAGCAGGAGAGGGGGGAGGAGAATGACACAGTGAGCGATAGAGCAAGGGAGGCTGGCGAGACGCGGAAGAGGAAGAGGAAGAGGCGTGGGCGAGGGGGGCGTGAGGAGACAGATGGGGGGGGCGCAGAGGCTTCTGAATCGACTCAGAAGTCACCTGGGCGAAGGGGGAGGCGTGGGGGGAGGGGGCGTGGGGGAGGGGGCGTGGGGGGAGGGGGCGTGGGGGAGGGGGGCGTGAGGCGGAAGTTTCGTTTGATTTGACTGAGGAGGAAAATAGGAGAAGAGGGGAGGTGGAAGAGGAGGGAGGAGAGGGTGGAAGGGAGGAGGTAGGAGTGGAGGAGGGGGAGAAGAGTGGGGAGGGATTGGGGGAGGGAGTAGAGAGTAGGAGAGAGGAGGAAGGAGGGGATGGAGAAGAGGAGGAAAGGGAGGAGGGTAGAGGGGGAGAAGAAGTGGAGGAAAGAGAGGAGGGAGGAGGGCAGGAGGATCAAGAGCGAGGAGGAGAGGGAGAGGGAGAAAGAGAAGAGGAGGGAAGCGGAGAAGGTGGAGGGGAGGGAGAAGAGGAGATTTCAGCTCTTGCTGTGCTGCTTATAGAGAAGGGCGCTGTAAAGGAGGTTGCTGTAAAGGAGGGTGCTGTAAAGGAGGGTGCTGTAAAGGAGGTTGCTGTAAAGGAGGGCGCTGTAAAGGAGGGTGCTGTAAAGGGAAAGGACGCTGTAAAGGAAAAGGGCGCTGTACGGAGAGTGATTACAACGAACGAGATGGAGGGACCAGAGGCAACAGCAGGCGTGATGATAGCAGGAGCAAGGAAAGCGCCTGGCAGAGCTGCCAAGGCTGCTGCTCTGGCTCGGATCTGCCGAACCTCGAGGCCTGGGCAGCAGGGACGGCAGGGGACGGCTGGGCAGCCGGAAAGAGGGGGAGCGGCTGCTGCAGGGGTAATGGGGAAGGTTGGGGAGGGGGGTGGGGGATTGGTTGGGGTTGGGGAAGCGGCGATGGAGCAAGGGGAGAGGCAAGCGAAGGGGGGAGCGAAAGGCCTCAAGAGGAAAAGAGAGGAGGTGGAGGGGAAGGAAGTGGGGAGTGTGAGGGTGACTAGGTTGATGGCTAAGATGGCTCGAGAGGAGAGTGGACAGTCAGGATCCGCGGTTGGCGCTGAGGCTGCTGGTAGTGATGTGCTAGAGAGAGGGGATGGAGGGACGGAAGATGGGGATGCGGGGAAGGGGACGGACGGTGGGAGGGGGGAGGGGGTTGAGAGGGGGGAGGAGGTTGGGAGGGGGGAGGAGGTTGGGAGGGGGGAGGAGGTTGGGAGGGGGAGGAGGTTGGGAGGGGGGAGGAGGGGCTGGAGGGGAACGGGAAGGGGAAAGAAAAGGACAAGGAGGTGGCGAAGGGGAAGGAGGCGGGGGGAAGGAAGGAGGCGGGGGGAGGGAAGGAGGCGGGGGGAGGGAAGGAGGTGGGGGGAGGGAAGGAGGTGGGGCAGAGGGGTCAGGGACGGGTTCTGGCAGAAGAAGAGCTCGAGAAACGGAGGCTGAGGGGGAAGGGGAAGGTGGTTGAGAGATTACGATCTGCGGCGGCTCAAAACCAGAGAGGAAAGGGACAGGTGGGGGCAGAGGAGCTTGCAAAACGGAGGCTGAGAGGGAAGGGGATTGCGATTAAGGAATTACCAGAAGTCGGGAAAAGGTGGGAGGTGGAGGAGGAAGAGAAGGAGGAGGAGGTGGAGGAGGTTCGGCATAAACCCCCATCCCCATCACGTGCCCCCCCATCCGCATCCCACCTCCCTCCATCCTCATCCCACGTGCCCCCTTCCTCAGCTCACCACCTCCCATCCCCATCCCCGTCCCGCAACCCTCTATGCCTGGCCTTGGTCCCGGCACCTCCCCCACCCTCCCCCGCTCCCTCTGTCAACCGCTCCGAATCGTTTCGACACGCCCCGTGCCCCTCTGGTGGCTCCATGGGTCCCTCGCCATCCCTTGTCTCTCAAAACCCCGCCTCTCAAAGTCCTCCTGCGCCCTCTCCTCCCCGCGACCACATGGGGTGGACGCCAGGGGAAGTTAAAGCCTACCACGAAGCCATGCACGAGGTGCCAATAGACTCGGAGAACTTCTGGGGGAGGGTTGCCCTCTGGGTGCCTGGCAAGACTGCGACTGATTGTTTCAACCGCCACCATTCGCAGTTCGGCACGCCTCCCCCCCGCCCCCCACGCCCCCGTAGGGTGACTAGGGACGGGGGGAGTGAGCAGGGGCAGCAGGGGCAGGAGCAGCAGCTGCTGCAGCAGCAGCAGCAGCAGCAGCAGCAGCAGCGGCAACAGCTGGTTTATGGGAATTTGGAGCAAACTGCCTTTGTTGCTGCGTGTGTAGGCGTGATGTCCAAGGGGGCTGTGGGTTGGGAAGGGGAGGGGGGGGAGTTGAGGGGTGAGGCCAGCACTGCGGCACAAATCAGAGGGAAGGAAATTGCAGTGGCCGATGATGGGTTGGAGAAAGAGGCGGTTGAGGGGAGGGGCGGAGGGAGGGGAAGGGGAGCAGGTGGGGGAAGGGGGAGAGGGGGCGTTGTTGTGGCGCGTGGAAGGGGGAGGGAAGGAGAAAGGGGGCGGGGAGGGGGGAGGGAGACGGGGAGGGGGGAGCGGAGGGGGTGTTCAAGCTGCCTCGATCCAAGGCGGGACTGATGGTGGCGGCACACGTTAGGATGAGGGACAAGTGCGCCTTTGAGGTATGTGGTCCTCCAATCATGGCGCCTTCCAATCATGGCGTCTTCCAATCATGGCGCCTTCCAATCATGGCGCCTTGGAGGTATGTCTGTTGATGTTGGTGTTCGTTAAGAATGGGTCGACTCAGGGGAGAGGGGGGGGTGTTTAAGCTTCCTTGATCGAAGGCAGGACTGATGGTGGCGGCTCACGTTAGGATGAGGGACAAGAGCGCCTTCGAGGTATGTGGTCCTCCAATCATGGTCCCTTTGAAGTATGTTTATGGATGTTGGACATGGCTGCAGTTGCATGATGACTCAGAATACACCAGGGGGGAGAGGCAGGGGTGTTTAAGCTTCCTCGGTCGAAGGCAGGACTGATGGTGGCTGCTCACAGTAGGATGAGGGATAAGTGCGCCTTCGAGGTATGGTGCCTTCTGGCTATAGTGTCTTGGAGGTATGCATGAGAGAGACGCGAGCCTTCGAGGTGGTGAGACAGTGGCGAGACAATGGTGAGACAGTGGCGAGACAATGGTGAGAAAGTGGCCAGGCAGTGGCCAGACAGCGGCCAGGCTATTTGCAGCCCATCTTACACCCTTTCCCCCCATATCCCCCTTTCCCCTCCCCCCCCCTCCCCCCCACACAGTGGTGGCGACCCAGTCCTAGCAGAAGGACGACTTCTCCCAGCAGGACGAGGAGAGCAGCATGCTGTTCTCACCCCATGCTCATCTCACGCCCTTTCCCCCCATCCTCCATCCCCCACCCCCCCCAACACCCAATCCCCCAACCCCCCCCCTGCAGACGGTGGTGGCGACTCAGTCCCTTGGGAAGGACGACTTGTCCAAGCGCGACGAGGAGATCAGCGTGCTCTTATCACCCCGTGCCCATGCTCCCTTCCCTCCACGCCCCCATTCACTTTGCTCTGCCCTCCCCCCTTGCAGACGGTGGTGGCGATCCAGTCCCTTGGGAAGGACGACTTCACGCAGCGCGACGAGGAGATCAGCGCCGTGGCGTCAGTCGCGCCCCGCCTGGCGCTCGTGATGGCCTCTTCCGCTCGCGCCAGGCTGCAGACCCAAGCAGAGAGGCAGCAGAGCCGGGCTAGGCTGCAGAGCCAAGCAGCAGCGGCAGCCGCAGCAGCAGCAGCAGCAGCAGCCACGGGAGCTGCTGCTTCTGCTGGAGGGGAACGTGCAGCAGGCTTGCGGGGTGCGGCGAGTGGTTCGGGGGATGGGGCAGGAGGCTCGGGGAATGGGGCACGAAGCTCGGGGAAGGGGGCGGGTGGTTCGGCGGGGGAGAACCCCGAGGGCTGGAAACGCAATGGGGAGAAGCGCAAGGTGAGAGGGGAGGGGTCCTGGGGGCGGGGAGGGAACTTTGGTTGGTCTCCCTTGCCCGCAACACTCTAACCCATCCCTTGCCCGCAACACTCTAACCCATCCCTTGCCCGCAACACCCTAACCCATCCCTTGCAGCACGAGACGTACATTGATCGCATCATTCGGGAGAGGCAGAGCAGCAGCAGCCTGCCACGCCCGCGCACAGCAGGTGAAACATGCCTGCTTTGACTTCACCCTTATTTAAATGTGTACTATGGTGTATTCTAGTGTCGAAACCCGAAACCTCAAACTTTAAAAGGCAGCCAGCAGCCTGCTACAGCCGCACACAGCAGGTAAGATTGTTTCTTTTGGCGTGATAGATATATCTAGCACAGATGCGTCACAAACACAGGGAAGCATACATTTATTCCTAGACCCTTCATCCTAATCCCTGAATCCCTATCCCCAACATCCTTATCCTCCATATCCCTATCCTCCATATCCCTATCCTCCATAGCCCTATCCTCTCTATCCCTCCCCCCCACCACATCTCCATCCCCCCCATATCCCCAACCCCTGTATCCCAACCGATATACCTATCCCCGATATCCCCCTCCCCCGTATCCCTATCCCCCATCTACCTATCTCCTATACCCCTATCCTCCATATCCCTATCCCCCATATCCACATCCCCTCTATCCATATCCCCCGTACCCCTCTCCCCTGTATCCACCCCCACATCCCTATCCCCTGTAACTCTATCCCCTTTATTGGTATCCCCAATATCCCTGGCCTGTGTCTGCCTATCCTTAACATCCCTATCCCCTGTATCATTCTTTGTCGTTGTGTCTGTTGTCCTGCCTGTCTTGCCACATACAGGAGAGGATGGTTTTTAGGCACCTCAAAGGTTCTGTGCATGTGACTGTTGCTCTGCCTTGTCTTGCCTCGTGCAGTAGGGATATCAAGAGGGGGAGGACGAGGGAGAGGAGAAGGGGGAGGGAGGGGGGCGGAAAGTTGGGGAGGAGGAGGCGGAGGAAGGGGGGGGAGAGGGGGAGGAAGGAGTGGGAGAGGGGGAGGGGGTGGGAGAGGAGAGAGTGGGAGTGGGAGAGGGGGGAGGGGAGGAGGAAGAGGTGGAGGACGGGGAGACATATGGAGAGGAAAGGGTCCCGGATCAGCATGTACTGACATCTTTGGGCCGTGCCTGAATCTGCTGTGTGGGGGCGTGAGAGGCGAGACGGAGAGGAAGGCTCTGGTGAGTGCGTATGAGGAGCAGAAGCGGCAGCTGCAGCTCACTGCAAAGCGCGCAGAGGCGCTTGCTATCTGTGGGAATGGCGCCGGTGGTGGGGGTCGGGGGTGTGGTGTGTGGGAGATTGGCACATGGAGCGAGGAAGAGGATGAGGGGGAGGAGGAGGAGGAGGAAGAAGCGGAGGGGTATATGGGGTGCATTGAGGGAGGGGGGGGAGTGGGAGAAGAGGAGGGAGAGTGTGAGAGGTTGGAGAATGGGGATGAAGATGAAGAGGATGAAGAGAAAGAGGAGGAAGCTGAGGAAGAGGAGGAAGATGAGGAAGAGGAGGAAGAGGACTTGGAGGAAGAGGAAGTGGAGGAAGAGGAAGGGGAGGAAGAGGAAGGGGAGGAAGCGGAGGAAGAGGAGGAATAGGACGTGGAGGAAGAGGAAGTGGAGGAAGAGGAAGTGGAGGAAGAGGAAGTGCAGGAAGAGGAAGTGGAGGAAGAGGAAGTGGAGGAAGAGGAGGGTGAAATGGAGGAGTGAGAGATTGGAGTGAGGATTTAGAAAGCCCAGGGTTTGATTGATATGCTGGAATGGTGGTTGCCCATGTAAAGAGCACCAAGTGTACAGAGCTGTAGCCAGTGAAGGAATAAATGGCACACACTGTCACTACTTACATGTTTTTCATTACTTCTAACCAAGTACCTACACTAGGCTGTGTTCATCATAATATGCTTGGTACTACCTGTATTTCCCGTCTGTTTTCTGCAACATGCAAAATCTACCCAGCTACGGTGTAGTACAAGGCTCACTCCTTGGCTTACAGAGAACCTCCTTAGAAGGTCCTGTCTAGTTCCGCTTTGTTTCCAGAGAGGTGTTATGAATGAACAAGCAGAGTAGCGCGGAAATTAATAACGAAGTGTTCAATCACTGATGGACGATATAAGGAATGGCAAGCCAATGTATAGGAACACCAGAGCTAGTCTAACCATGAGATGGGAAGGTTCGGGAAAGAGATCGAAGGGTCTCGAAGTGACGAAGCGAGGCCCAGAGAACTTCCGAAGGTCCGGAGAAGCCGAGGCGGTTGTGTCAGAAAGGTCCGGACGGAACCGTAACGAGGCTTCAGGTGTGTTTGAGCGTACGCGATAGCAGTACTGCTCGGTAAGGAATAGAAAATTCCTTACAAGAGGTGTGGTGGCTGTTACCAATTTACTGGTACACTACAACATTTGGATACCTACATTTCAGCCTGGTAGCATTTCATGAACTGCTGGGGTAGAAAATGTTCCCGATGCAAGCAAAGCAAACCCAATCTACTGAGTCCACACCAAGCAAAGAGGTTGCAACTTTCGGCATCACACAATAGCACCACCACACCACACCAAGCCCCAAGAAGAGGCAAGCACGTGAGCAACAAGACCCTGTTCCAAACCTAGGTCCAAACAAACCAAAGCCCTCCCCGACACAAAAATGTTGTGCATTGGATTGGAAAGCCGGGCAGAATACAGAAAACCCTGGGACTTCTCTCACTCAAACCTGGGCAGCTTTCCTTCGCTACTACCCGCTCTGACTCCCACTCCTTCCACTCCACTCCAACCCCTTTCCCCTCCCACTCCCTCCACCACCCCCACGCACCACTCCCACCAACCACTCCCCTGCACTCCCACCTTCTCCTCCTTACCTCTACCTTTCCCCCCCCTCTACCAGTCCACCTTTTAAGACTCAAAAGCTGTTTGGGAAAGAACCCTTACAGCCTGGAGAAGCCTTGCTGGCTTGGGAACCCCTGCGGGTTGACTTCTGAGTCGACTCAAAAGCTGCTTGGGAAAGAACCCTTACTGTCTGGAGAAGCCTTGCTGGCTTGGGAAATCCTGTAGGCTAAGCCCTTGCTGATTGGCAGATACCACACCACCCTGCTGGTTACCACCCAGGCCATCGCCTCCCGAACCTCCGGGAGAGGCTCGGGTGAGCCTTGGCGGTTGGCGGGGCCGCCTCTTGTTCCCTCCTGGGGCACCCGGCCTCCCTTGGTAATAGCCCATGCCTTGGTCCGAGCCTCCACCGAACCTGTGGCTATGCTGCTGTGAAGCTGCCATACCCCCCACCATACCTCCTGCCATAGCTCCTGCCATCCCTACAGGTACGGACCCAAGGTGGGCGTGGTAGACACTGGGAGGAGGAACAGAGACGCCACCTGCTGTTAGCATCCCTACTCCTCCTGCCTGTGCTGCTGCCTGTGCTGCTGCCTGTGGTGCTGGTGCTGCTAGTGGTGCTAGTGGTGGTGCTGCTGCTAGTGGTGCTGGTGGTGGTGGTGCTGCTGGTGCTAGGGGCTGGGGCTGGTAGGATAAGGTGGTGTCTCCATCCCCCAGGGACTCAGGAAAATGATGATCCTCTATGGTGGCCGGAGCTGCACCAGTGGAAGTGGCCGCTTCAGACGAATCAGCAGCAGCAGCAGCAGCGGCAGCGGCAGCAGCAGCAGCAACAGCATTGCCCCCCGCAGTTGCTGCAGATGCAGCACTTTCGTTACCAGCCACAGCAGCAGCAGGTGCATTGTGTCTGCGGCCCCGGTCTTCACTCCCTTCCTTTCTCTTCTCACCCCCGCCCCTGCTACCTTCCTCCACGCCTAGCTCCGAGGCTCGGGAGCCTGCCATACCAGCTTCTGGTTCGGCACGTGAAGCAGCCGAACCAGAGGCGCTGGTATGGGTAACCAGGGACGGAGCTATTGGCATGGGCAGTTGTGGCGTTGGTGTGGGGTGGAGGAGTTGAGAGGAGAGGAAAGTGGGAGGAGCGAAAGGGAGGAGGGAGTGACCCATGGGGGGGAAAGGGGCTGCAGGATTAACGTGAGGAGGTGGAAACTGGGGAAGGTGCGGCCAGTAGAAAGGCATCGGCTGCTGTAAAGGGTGCTGCTGTAAGGCTTGCTGCTGCTGTGGGATCTGCAGGAAAGACGAGAGAAGGGAAGAGGAGGGCAGGGAAGGGGGTTGGTGGAAAGGAAGCGGATGGGGGAGATGGGATGAGTGGGTATGCAGACCGACACACCTCACATGCAGACCGACACACCTCACATGCAGACCGACACACCTCACATGCAGACCGACACACCTCACATGCAGACCGACACACCTCACATGCAGACCGACACACCTCACACGCAGACCGACACTTCAAGGGGCACATGCCAGGCATTTGAACGCCAGAGAGCCCAACCAAGAGAGTCAAACATTGTGATGGAGAAAAAACAGCAGACCCAGGGACTATTACCCGTCTGTAATGAGTCGATTTTTGAGTCGTTACACACTGAAAAAATCGACTCATTACACACGGAAAAAATCGACTCATTACACACGGAAAAGATTGACTCATTACACACGGAAAAAATCGACTCATTACACACGGAAAAAATCGACTCATTACACACGGAAAAAATCGACTCATTACACACGGAAAAAATCGACTCATTACACACGGAAAAGATCGACTCATTACACACGGAAAAAGCAGCAGCACCAGGGACTATTACCTGTGGCTGTGGTGGCTGTTGATTGCCGCCCATCACTGCAGACCCATCATGCATCCTATGCTGCTGCTGCTGCTGCTGGGTCTGCACGTTTTGCTGATGCCGGTTCTGCAGCTGCACCTGGTGCTGCTGCTGCTGCTGCTGCTGCTGCTGGTTCCGCAACTGCATCTGCTGCTGCATCTGCTGCTGTTGCTGCTGGAACCTCGGTGGGGGCACGGCACCGCCTCGAGATCGACCCGTGCTTGGAGGCGCCTCATATCGCAGGTGAGACGTGTTCGGAGGTCCCTCAAATTTTGAGCGAGACTGCATGCCTCCTCCACCCACCCCTCCCTGCTGCTGCTGCTGCTGGCCCCCTGCTGCCTCTGCCGCTGCTTCTGCCTTTGCCTGCCCTTCTGGGGCCCTACCCCTCCAATACCCTCCTCTTTCTTCTCCGGCCTTTGCTGCCCCTCCTGCAGCAACCCCTGCTGCGGCTGCTGCAGCAGCAGCTGCTGCCCTTGCTGCTGCTGCTGCTGCCCTTGCTGCTGCTGCTGCTGCTGCCCCGTTTGTGCTTGGGTGGAAGCATTGAAGTCATACCCCCCTTGTCCATACTGCGGCAGAGGAAACCCCATACCTACCTGCCCCATACCTACCTGTCCCACTCCTACCTGCCCCATACTCCCTTGCCCAATCCCTGCTGGTATGGGCTGACCAACCTGCCCGAACTGCCCGCTCAAAAAAGGAGGGGCAGGGAAAATCATGACGGGGGGCCCAGGGTGCATGATTTGCCCTGGCATGGCATGGCCTGGCATGGCATGGCTTGGCATGGGGCTTGGCATGGCAGGGTTAGGCATTGTGTGGGTTGGCATGGCATGGGCCGGATGTGTAAGGGCATGTGGCTGGGACATGGGGAAAGGGGACATGGTCGGATGAGGGAGCATACCTTGAGAGGCCAGCATGCCTTGATGCTGCAGCATGCCTGGGTACATATGCATGTGAGGGAAGTGGGCGGGCGCAGAAGGGACAGCTGCTGCTGCAAGGTGGGGGGCTCCAGGGGGGGGTTCTGCAAGGGGGGGTGCTTCACTTGCTGCAGGGAAATATACACCTGAGGCAACATGCTGCTGCTGCGGTTGCTGATGGTGTTGATGCTGCTCGTGCTGCTGCTGCAGCTGCTTCCCACCTGCTTCAACCCCTTCATTCGGCTGCGCCTGATGTGCCTCCTGCTCCTGCTGCTGCTCTTGCTCCTGCTCCTGCTGCTGCTCCTGCTCCTGCTGCTGCTGCTGCTGCTGTGCCTGCTGCTGCTGCCCCTGATGTAGCTCCTCCTGCTGCCCCTGCTGCTGCTGCTGCTGTGGCTGCGGTTCCGGCTGCTGCTCTCTGTGCTCCTGTCCCTGTTGCTCCTTTCGCTCCTGCTGCTGCGGCTGCTGCTGCTGCTGCTGCTGGTGCTGGTCGGAGCTCCCCCCACTGACACCAGCAGCACGCCACTCCTGCCGCTGCTTGCCGCCTCTGCCGCCCCTCTGCCGCCCTTGCTTCTGCTGGCCTTTCCTCTGCCCCTGCTCCCCTTGCTCTGTTCCACCCTGCTGCACCTGCTGCTGCTGCTGCTGCTGCTGCTGCGGCTGCGGCTGCTGTTGCTGCTGCTGCTGCTGCAGGGGTTGCATTAGAGCGACCACAGGAGCAACCATGGGCGGAACCAGAGGCGCAGCCATGGGAGGAGTAACGAGTATGGTGGGTGCTGCTGCCACAGCCGGCGCTGTGCTGCTACTCACGCACATGGGGCCTGGAGGGAGAAAAGAACAGCAGGCACGTGACACAGGAAGGCACAGGAAGAGGCTGAATAGGAAACCACTATCATTGGCGCAACCATTGGCGCAACCATTGGCGCAACCATAGGAGGAGTATGGTGTGCGCTGCCAGCCACAGCACGCACTGCACTGCTACTCACGCACATGGGAACTGAGGTACGAGACAGGGGGAACATGTGATAGGTAAGGGAGCATGGCAAGACGGGAGGGCACACAAGGGGCAGAGAGTGAGTAGTTTAAGCTTGAAAACATTTAGGGTGGAATACTGGAAAGGGCAGAGGAAAGCGAGGCAGCATTTGGGTAGTAAACAATAAATAATTCATCGCTCGGAGTTCTTGAAAAGGGCACGCCTCTTGCTGCTGGAAGCATGCACGAGAGAGTAGCGCCTTCTACTGCGGGGTGAAGTTTTGAGCCGCAGAAGGAAGGCATGTGTAGGAGGCGACTTTTGAGTCGACTCAAAAATCACTATGTGTAGGAGGCACTACTTACGTGTTGTGCGAGGAAAATACCTTCTAATGCTGTCGTGGAAGGCAACGCTGGCGAAGATTGCACAGGTGTAGGAGCCGGAATAGGAGCGAGGATCTGCTGACGAAAAAAAGAGAGAGGTGTATAAATTGGTAGGAGGGCAGTGGAAAGAAGGATTCGTCTCTAAAACCGGGGAGAAAAAAGGCGGGGGGGGGGGGAAACGTTTTTACTGGGTTGCTAGGGATGAGGGTGCAGACGCAAGCCACAGCAACTGAGAAACCAATCAAGGCTAGCGCACAGATTGGTTTCTCAGTTACTTGCTTGAGAAAGCTAGTTGCTTTGCTCGGTTTCTCAGTTGCTGTGCTCGTCATCTGCCGAGCAACCAATCAAAGCTGGCACACAGGTGACAAATGAAGACAGGCCAGGCCGTACTTGCTAGCATAAGTCGACTCACACACAGGTGTCCAAGTCCACGGCCAAGCCGAAGAATAAAGCATGTTGTAACCGTGGTCTGAAAATCTTGCACATGAGGGCTTACAAGCTTGACACCACCAGTGTTTTTGAGAATTCTCAGGGCGTTTTTGAGAATTCTAAAAAACACCCTGCACAACCGAGGCCTGCAAATCCTGCAAATGAGGGCTTACTTGCTTGACACCACCAGCGTCGGGAGCCGTGACTGGAGTAGTAGTAGATGCCGTAACAGCCGTTGTCACAGGGAGGGTTACGCTGGCGCCAATAGTGTTCGCATGAGCGGCGTGCTTGCGCCTCTGTTGCTGCTCCTGCTGCTCCTTCATCTGAATGAAAAACATAGGGAAAAAGAAGAAGAAGAAGAAAAGAAAAGAAAAGAAAGAAAGAAAGAAAAAATATGGGAAAAAACAGGAAACAGAAGTTACATATCCCGGGGGAAGGCGAGGCAAACAGGCAGGGAATCAACAAATCAAGGGGCAGTCCTAAGTGAAGCACGCACATCATATGAGAATGCATGCTCACCATATGAGAATGCACGCACACCATATGAGAATGCACGCACACCATATGAGAATGCACGCACACCATATGAGAATGCACGCACACCATATGAGAATGCACGCACACCATATGAGAATGCACGCACACCATATGAGAATGCACGCACACCATATGAGAATGCACGCACACCATATGAGAATGCACGCACACCATATGAGAATGCACGCACACCATATGAGAATGCACGCACACCATATGAGAATGCACGCACACCATATGAGAATGCACGCACACCATATGAGAATGCACGCACACCATATGAGAATGCACGCACACCATATGAGAATGCACGCACACCATATGAGAATGCACGCACACCATATGAGAATGCACGCACACCATATGAGAATGCACGCTCACCATATGAGAATGCACGCACACCATATGAGAATGCACGCTCACCATATGAGAATGCACGCACACCATATGAGAATGCACGCACACCATATGAGAATGCACGCACACCATATGAGAATGCACGCACACCATATGAGAATGCACGCACACCATATGAGAATGCACGCACACCATATGAGAATGCACGCACACCATATGAGAATGCACGCAAACCATATGAGAATGCACGCACACCATATGAGAATGCACGCACACCATATGAGAATGCACGCTCACCATATGAGAATGCACGCACACCATATGAGAATGCACGCTCACCATATGAGAATGCACGCTCACCATATGAGAATGCACGCTCACCATATGAGAATGCACGCTCACCATATGAGAATGCACGCACACCATATGAGAATGCACGCTCACCATATGAGAATGCACGCACACCATATGAGAATGCACGCACACCATATGAGAATGCACGCTCACCATATGAGAATGCACGCACACCATATGAGAATGCACGCTCACCATATGAGAATGCACGCACACCATATGAGAATGCACGCACACCATATGAGAATGCACGCACACCATATGAGAATGCACGCACACCATATGAGAATGCACGCACACCATATGAGAATGCACGCACACCATATGAGAATGCACGCACACCATATGAGAATGCACGCAAACCATATGAGAATGCACGCACACCATATGAGAATGCACGCACACCATATGAGAATGCACGCTCACCATATGAGAATGCACGCACACCATATGAGAATGCACGCTCACCATATGAGAATGCACGCTCACCATATGAGAATGCACGCTCACCATATGAGAATGCACGCACACCATATGAGAATGCACGCTCACCATATGAGAATGCACGCACACCATATGAGAATGCACGCACACCATATGAGAATGCACGCACACCATATGAGAATGCACGCACACCATATGAGAATGCACGCTCACCATATGAGAATGCACGCACACCATATGAGAATGCACGCTCACCATATGAGAATGCACGCTCACCATATGAGAATGCACGCTCACCATATGAGAATGCACGCACACCATATGAGAATGCACGCTCACCATATGAGAATGCACGCACACCATATGAGAATGCACGCACACCATATGAGAATGCACGCACACCATATGAGAATGCACGCACACCATATGAGAATGCACGCACACCATATGAGAATGCACGCACACCATATGAGAATGCACGCACACCATATGAGAATGCACGCACACCATATGAGAATGCACGCACACCATATGAGAATGCACGCACACCATATGAGAATGCACGCAAACCATATGAGAATGCACGCACACCATATGAGAATGCACGCACACCATATGAGAATGCACGCACACCATATGAGAATGCACGCAAACCATATGAGAATGCACGCACACCATATGAGAATGCACGCACACCATATGAGAATGCACGCTCACCATATGAGAATGCACGCACACCATATGAGAATGCACGCTCACCATATGAGAATGCACGCTCACCATATGAGAATGCACGCACACCATATGAGAATGCACGCACACCATATGAGAATGCACGCTCACCATATGAGAATGCACGCACACCATATGAGAATGCACGCACACCATATGAGAATGCACGCAAACCATATGAGAATGCACGCACACCATATGAGAATGCACGCTCACCATATGAGAATGCACGCACACCATATGAGAATGCACGCAAACCATATGAGAATGCACGCACACCATATGAGAATGCACGCACACCATATGAGAATGCACGCTCACCATATGAGAATGCACGCACACCATATGAGAATGCACGCTCACCATATGAGAATGCACGCACACCATATGAGAATGCACGCACACCATATGAGAATGCACGCACACCATATGAGAATGCACGCACACCATATGAGAATGCACGCACACCATATGAGAATGCACGCACACCATATGAGAATGCACGCACACCATATGAGAATGCACGCAAACCATATGAGAATGCACGCACACCATATGAGAATGCACGCACACCATATGAGAATGCACGCTCACCATATGAGAATGCACGCACACCATATGAGAATGCACGCTCACCATATGAGAATGCACGCTCACCATATGAGAATGCACGCTCACCATATGAGACTGCACGCACACCATATGAGAATGCACGCTCACCATATGAGAATGCACGCACACCATATGAGAATGCACGCACACCATATGAGAATGCACGCTCACCATATGAGAATGCACGCACACCATATGAGAATGCACGCTCACCATATGAGAATGCACGCACACCATATGAGAATGCACGCACACCATATGAGAATGCACGCACACCATATGAGAATGCACGCACACCATATGAGAATGCACGCACACCATATGAGAATGCACGCACACCATATGAGAATGCACGCACACCATATGAGAATGCACGCAAACCATATGAGAATGCACGCACACCATATGAGAATGCACGCACACCATATGAGAATGCACGCTCACCATATGAGAATGCACGCACACCATATGAGAATGCACGCTCACCATATGAGAATGCACGCTCACCATATGAGAATGCACGCTCACCATATGAGAATGCACGCACACCATATGAGAATGCACGCTCACCATATGAGAATGCACGCACACCATATGAGAATGCACGCAAACCATATGAGAATGCACGCACACCATATGAGAATGCACGCACACCATATGAGAATGCACGCTCACCATATGAGAATGCACGCACACCATATGAGAATGCACGCAAACCATATGAGAATGCACGCTCACCATATGAGAATGCACGCTCACCATATGAGAATGCACGCACACCATATGAGAATGCACGCTCACCATATGAGAATGCACGCACACCATATGAGAATGCACGCAAACCATATGAGAATGCACGCACACCATATGAGAATGCACGCACACCATATGAGAATGCACGCAAACCATATGAGAATGCACGCACACCATATGAGAATGCACGCACACCATATGAGAATGCACGCTCACCATATGAGAATGCACGCACACCATATGAGAATGCACGCTCACCATATGAGAATGCACGCTCACCATATGAGAATGCACGCTCACCATATGAGAATGCACGCACACCATATGAGAATGCACGCTCACCATATGAGAATGCACGCACACCATATGAGAATGCACGCACACCATATGAGAATGCACGCACCATATGAGAATGCACGCCACCATATGAGAATGCACGCTCACCATATGAGAATGCACGCACACCATATGAGAATGCACGCAAACCATATGAGAATGCACGCTCACCATATGAGAATGCACGCTCACCATATGAGAATGCACGCTCACCATATGAGAATGCACGCACACCATATGAGAATGCACGCTCACCATATGAGAATGCACGCACACCATATGAGAATGCACGCAAACCATATGAGAATGCACGCACACCATATGAGAATGCACGCACACCATATGAGAATGCACGCTCACCATATGAGAATGCACGCACACCATATGAGAATGCACGCTCACCATATGAGAATGCACGCTCACCATATGAGAATGCACGCTCACCATATGAGAATGCACGCACACCATATGAGAATGCACGCTCACCATATGAGAATGCACGCACACCATATGAGAATGCACGCACACCATATGAGAATGCACGCTCACCATATGAGAATGCACGCACACCATATGAGAATGCACGCTCACCATATGAGAATGCACGCTCACCATATGAGAATGCACGCTCACCATATGAGAATGCACGCACACCATATGAGAATGCACGCTCACCATATGAGAATGCACGCACACCATATGAGAATGCACGCACACCATATGAGAATGCACGCTCACCATATGAGAATGCACGCACACCATATGAGAATGCACGCTCACCATATGAGAATGCACGCACACCATATGAGAATGCACGCTCACCATATGAGAATGCACGCTCACCATATGAGAATGCACGCTCACCATATGAGAATGCACGCACACCATATGAGAATGCACGCTCACCATATGAGAATGCACGCACACCATATGAGAATGCATGCTGTTCAAAGACTAGGGTACTCACACGTTGCTCCCGCTTTCGTGCCTTCACCTCCCGCTCCCTCTCCCTCTCCCGCTCCCTCTCCCGCTCCCTCTCCCTTTCCCTCTCCTTCTCCTTCTCCTTCGCCCTTTCCCTCTCCTCCCGTTCCCTCTCCCTTTGCTCCCGCTCCCTCTGCTCCCGCCTCCCCCTCTTCGACTGCACAGTGACAAACCCCCCACCACCCTCCTCCTCTTCATGATCCACCCCTATCTGCTCAAACACTTTCACTATCCCCCCTCCCAGGGGCACCTCCTCTGAGTGCCCCAGGCTCTCTAGCCTTTCCACCAGCCAGCCGAGTCTAGCTGGCACACGTGGCCCCTCTCTCACCGACCCTTCCTTGCTCCCATTGCCCTTGCCGGCCCCACTAGCTGCGCTGCTCCCAGCAGCTTTACTCGTTCCACTGCCCTCATTGCTCCTACCATCACCCCCAGCGCCAGTACCAGAGCTGCTTTCAGTGGCCTCAGTCACTACCCCTACACCTATCTTGCTGCCCTGCTGCCCGCTCCCCCCTCCTGCTCTTTCCTTCCCAGCAGCAGCAGCAGCAGCAGTAGCTACCCCCTTCCCCTTCCTCTCCCTCCGCTTTGAACCTGCTACAGCTGTGCCTGCGCTTTCCTCCGTAGCAGTTGTAGCAGCCGCATCTATGACTGACCCCGTTTCCCCACTAGCTACTGCTACAGCTGCCGAGGGCGAAGCATCCCTGCCTGCAGCAGTAACAGCAGCAGCAGCAGCAGCAGAAGCAGCAACAGAAACAGCAGCAGCAGCAGCAGCAGAAGCAGTAGTCGGTGCTACACAGGGTGGCTCAGAGGCAGCCTGAGAGGACCCCTGCGGCAACGCTTCAGGTGGGGCTTTCCCTACGCGGGGAGAGGTGGAGGAAGGGGAGGAGGATGAGGAGGAGGAGGACGCGCCTGAGAGGAACCCCAGGGAGGAGAGGAAGGCCGTGGGGAACATTGAGAACGGCCGGCGCAGGCTCACTGCAGGCTTCGACTGCTGCTGCTGCTGCTGCGCCTGCTGCTTCTTCTCGGAAGCACTGGCCTTTTGTGCCTCACGTTGCGGCACCCTCTCTCCTCGTGCGGGTTGCATGCGTGTGTCCACGGCATCCTCCTGCCCTTTCTCTTCCTGCCCGCGCTCCTGCCCTTTCTCTTCCTGCCCGCGCTCCTGCCCTTTCTCTTCCTGCCCGCGCTCCTGCCCTTTCTCTTCCTGCCCGCGCTCCTGCCCTTCCTCTTCCTGCCCCTGCTGCGGCTCCTCGTCACCCTCCTGCTCCTGCTTCACATGCAGCTGCCCTCCCTTCTCCTCCGCTTTCTCCTCCACTTTCTCCTCCTCCTTCTCCTCCACTTTCTCCTCCTCCATCTGTGCTCCCATCTTTGACTCCACCTCCTCGTGCTCCGAGCCAGTGCTCGTGGCATCAGCACTCTCGTAAGCAGCCTCTGCCTCCGACACGCCACTGTCCGAGCCACCTGCAAAAGCACCTGAAGAAGCACCTGCAAAAGCACCTGACGCCACGCCACTCTCCCCACCTGCCAGATCCTCCGTTTCACCTGGAGCAGACCCTTGCTGCAGCAGCCAACCTTCAGCACCAGCAACAGCATCAGCACCGCCAGCATGGCCACCCGCATCCCTCTGTTTCTCCTGTGCAACTGCCATGCCTATGGCACCCGCCTCTGCTACATCCGCTTTTGCTACATCCGTCTTTTCCACTACTCTAACCACGTCAGTCTTTCCAACCTCTTGACTCACATCTCGCCTTGACTCACAAGCGTTAACCAAAGTCCCCTGCTTAGGCTCCTCCACTCCAGCACTCAATCCCGTGCCGTCCTTATCCCCCCCTGTTGCTCCGCCCCCTGTTGCTCCGCCCCCTGTTGCTCCGCCCCCTGTTGCTCCGCCCCCTGTTGCTTCACCCCCTGTTGCTCCCCGTGTTATCTGCTTCTCCTGCAAACCACCAGCTGTCGCCACGCCCTTTCGATCACCCTGCACCGCCACTCCCCTCCCCACACCCTCACTCTTCCCACCCCTCTCTCCTGCCGGCCCTTCCACCGCATTCCCCCCTCTCCCTCTTCCACCGCCCCTCCTCCTCTCTCCGCCTCCCCCTCTCCCCCCAATCCTCGTCCTCACCACTACACCATCACTACCCCTAATCTCTGAATACCCTTCACCTGTCCCCTCCGAAACCCCTCCAATTCTCGCCTCAGTAAGCCTTAAACCCTGAGCCACAAACCAAGCTGGAGTCGTGCCTGCTCCCGAACCACCCCCCGAAGCTACCGCCGAACCTGACACCAGACCAGCTGCCGCACCTGCCATCGAGCCAGCTCCCGAGCCACTTACCGCTCCAACAGCCGAGGCTGCAGGTCCGGGCCTAGCAGGCATTCCCGGCACAGATGGGGTGGTAACCGCGTCCCTGCCTCTCCCCCGGCCCCTGGCTGGCAATGCCTGTGCCTGCCCCCCTGTGCGACCACCCCGTGCCCCCCTCCCACTGATCACCCCTACTGCTGGCGCCCCTACAGCTGGCGCCCCTATCGCTGATCCTGCAGAAGAAGCAGCAGCTGCTGCTTTAGCCAGCCCAGGCATGCTTCCTTCCTCTTGCCCTCCCTGCCTCACTTGCTCCCTGCCCCTCCTCTGCACGGCCCCCCCTCGGCCCAACACTTGTCCCCGTTCAACAAGCCGCGCGCCTGAACCTGCACCGTCCCTCTGCTCCAGCGCTTCTCTCCCCCCCACAGCAGGCGGCTGGGCACCCACCGGGGGGGGCATTGATACTGGAAGCGGCAGCAACGGCTCTTGAGAGACCACCCTTTGCACAATTGATTCTTTTGAAGGTACCTGACCTGGTGCTGCCGCGCCCTTCTTCTTCTGCTGCTGCTGCTGCTGCTGCTGGTGCGGTTCTAACACCATCGAGGGCTGGTTCGGAAGCTGCTGCTGGTGGTTTGGTGGTTGCTGATGCTGCTTCGGTAACTCCTGCTGCTGGTTCGGTTGTGTGGCACACTCTGGGCCCTGGCCAGCAGGGGGCACAGGATGCAACATTGATGCCTGAACCCCGATCTGCCCGAACTGAAACATTGGCAACGGGGACGCTCCAAAACTTTCGTTCTGCCCGGATGGCTGGGCTGCCCCACCAACAGTGAGAGGCACGGAGCCGATTTGAATGACAAAAGGGGCTCCAGAGGTGCGCAGCAGGGCGGGAAGGAACGGCTTGGACGGAGCACTATCAGCAGATGCTGCAGCAGCAGAAGTCACAGCAGGAGGGAAAGCTGAAGGCGCAGCAGCAGAGAGAGCTGAAGGCGCGACAGAGGCACGTGCGCCCTGTGAGTCTATGCTGCCTGTTTCTGCTGCACCAGTGCCGGCATCTTTCACCACAGCCTCGCCATTCTCCACCACACTTCCCTTCTCCTCGGCTCTCACTGCAAGCCGCTTCTCCTCCACCCCCACCTCCTCCTTATCAGCACCCACCACTCCTCCTCTTTCAGCCGAATCCAACCCTTCCCTACCTACCATCACCGCTCTCTCCTGATTCCCCGTCGCTCCCTCTTCTCTGTCCGACATGCCCCCCTCTTCTCGATCCGACAGCAGGGCCCCCAGCTCATTCACCACATCTGCAGGCAGGCTCTCGGACTCACTCATCTCTGACTCCTCTGGTCCTAATGCTCCCGCCACCCCCCCTCCCATCTCTCCCAGTGCTCCAGTCACGCCCCTTTCCCTCCCCTCTCCTCTTCCCTCGCCCTCACCTTTCCCCTCCTGCAACCCTAGATTGCCTATTTGCTGCCCCATCTCCCCAACTCCCCTCCTGTCCTGCCCGTGCCCCCCCCCCATCCCATTCACTGCCCAGCTTCGCCCTTCTGCCCGTTCTGGACCACCAGAATTTTCCTCCTGCCCGAACCCAGGCCGCCCCTGCCACTGCTGCATTCCAGGCTGCCCGGCCTGCCCGAGGAAAATACTCGATGCAGCATCAGGCCCAATCCTTCTCCAGTCTAAGTACTCCCCAGATTGCCCCCATCTTCTCTCCCTCACCACCACTCCACCACCATTCCCCATCGCCCCACTACCACCGCCAATCAACCCTTCATTTCTGTCCACTACCGCATCCCTTGTACCCAGAACCCCAACCCCTTGCTCTTGTCCCATCCCCTCCGCTCTCCCTTGCTCCCTCTCTCCACCCCTCCCATCCGCCCTCCTCCTCTCCTGCTGTTGGCGGCCCCCAACGCTCTGCGCTCCCCCTTGCCCCGTCAGTCCCCCCTGCCCTCCCGCATCCCCCACTCCCCTGAACTGTTTCCGCCCCTGACTGCCCCCTGCTGCGCCCACCGACTTATCAAACGCCGCAGTGGGTCCTTCCCTGCCGCCCACCTCTCTCCCACCAAACTGCTCCATTCTCTGGTACCCCGCCCTGCCCCCTGCCACACCACCGCTCTCCCCACCTCCTCCTGCTCCTCCTGCTATTCCTCCTCCTCCTCCTGCTCCTCCTGATGCGGCTGCCCCCACTGCCCCCACCGCCGGCACGTGGCCAGTATATGTAGCAAAGCCGTGGCTCGCATCCCCATGGGTTAAGAGCCCAGGACCCAGCCCGGGTGGTCGGTGCAGCAACGGCGGCTGCTGCTGGTGCTGGTGCCCTGGCAACGGCTGGAAGGGGTGGGGGTGCATGGTCCCTAGATGCTGCTGCATTACAGGGAAGTGAGGGTAAGGTGGGGCGAACTGATGGGCGCGCAAGAGAGGACCTGGGCTGGGGAATCCGTAAGGCGGAATCGACTGCCCCTGCATCTGGTGTTGCTGCTGCTGTTGCTGGTGCTGTTGCTGTTGCTGCTGTTGCTGGTATTGCTGGTGTTGCTGTTGCTGGTGCTGTTGCTGCTGTTGCTGCTGGTGTTGCTGCTGGTGGTGGTGCTGGTGCTGGTGATGCTGCTGCTGTTGCTGCTGCTGGCTCCAGTGAGAAAAACCCTGGGAAATCCCTAACCCCGGCCCCTCTGCGCTAGGGTCATAGAGGCTCTGGTTACTGGTGTGGTTGGCTTGCTGCCTCTCCCCCAGACGCGTGCGATCAAGGGGCGGGGAAGGGGAGGAGGCAGCAATAGGGCCCCCTACAGTGGACCCGGCCTTATCATGGGAAAGCCCAGCCTGCTGCTGCTGCTCCTCCTGCTGCTCCTGCTGCTGCTCCTGCTCCTCCTGCTCCTGCTTCTGACGGTTCACTTGAAATTCGCTACCTTTCTCCCCCTCGACCTGGCCCATCTTCCCTAGCACGCTCTTCCCAACCACGCCTTCCCCTTCGTCTCTCACTGTCTTGCTCTCACCAGGGACCTCCGTGCCATCTACCCATGTGGGGGCACCTTCTGCCATGCCAGCAAGAATCTCACACTGCTCGTCCGACTTTGGAATCTCTTGGGCTCTGTCATCCTCCCGACCAGCAGCCTTTTCAGTCGGCTCAGAAGCTACTTGGGTGCTGCTGCCATCCCCAGCAGCCTGCTCCTGCGCTGACCCATTCCCCATAGAAGTCCGTCTTTCCTCCACTTCGCTTCCCTGCGCGTTTGAATGACCTCCAACTACCTCTCCACTTGGATTCTGCTCGTTAGACCCTACCTCCCCTGGCAAATACCCTCCCTCATTCCTCTCCGCGCCTTCCCAGCCATCCACTACCTGCCCCTGCCCCTGCCCCTGCAGCTGCCCGTTCCCCTCATTTCCTGGTCCCTGCCCCAACGCCACACTCCGTTCCACAACACCCTGCGACGCCTCACCTTGCTGCCCCTGCCCACCCTCACTCAACGCCCCCCCTTGCCCCTCCGCTCCGCCTGCCTCCTCCCTCTTCCTCCTCTCCTCCTCCTCCGCCTTCCTCCTCGCTATCCTCTCCTCCAGCTCCTCCAACTTCCTCCGCGCATTCTCCTTCCTCCTCTCCTCCTCCTCCAGAATCCTCCTCTTCTCCTCCTGCACTCTCCTCCTCTCCTCCTCTACCCTCCTCACCGCCTCTTCCACTTCCATAGCCGCCCTCTGCGCGGCTTCTCTCTCCACTTCCTCCGCCCTACGCCTCGCCTCCTCCTCCTCTCTCCCCCTCCGCATCGCCTCTTCCTCCTGCTGCCTCGCAAACTCTGCCGCCCGCTGCTCCTCCTCCTCCTTCCTCACTCTCTCCCTATCCTTCTGCATCTGCAACTTCTCCAACTCCTCTTCAAACCGCTCCCTTTCCAAGTCACGAAACTCCGACCCACCCCCCTCTCCCTCCGCTTTCTTCCTCCTCACCAGCCCCAGAGCACCAAGCCCAAAACTAGGCGGAGGCTCCACCCCCACGCGCGGCAGAGACTGCAGCTCCATCCGCGGGCCACCGGAAAAAACGTCCGGCCCCACGCCCCTCCCTCCGCCCTCCCTACTGGGCCTAAACCCCTGCCCGGGGCCAAAACCCTGCCCGGGCGCAAAACCCCTGGGAAACTCCCCCCTGGGACCATACCCGCCACCACCACCGCCTCTGCCTCTCCCCGGGTCCCCCATGGGCCCATAGCGCTCAAACTCACCCGGGAATGGCATCCCTGCCGGTCCTGGTTGCCCTGGTTGCCCTCTCATCTCGGGTGCGCCTGGTGGCCCTCGCATATCTGGCGGTCCAGGGGGCCCTAGTGCGCCTGGCGGTCCTGGCCCCGGCCCTCCCCTCCCTCGTCCTGCAGGCGGCCGTCCCTCCCACCCGTGCGGATCGTCCCTTCGCCACATGAACGCCTCGCCGGGCCTCGGATCTCCCTGCCATTCCGTGGCCCCATTCCTCGGACCAGGATACTCCCGAAAGCCTTCTCTAGAATGAAACCCCTCTCTAGAGTCCCATCCGTTATGAAACCCTCCCGGTTCACCACCCATGGGAAACCCGTTAGCGTCGAAGTGACCCCTGGGACCGTCGAATCTGTGCGGAAATGGCCCCCTACCCCCATGCGCGAAATGGGGGGGATGGGGAGGGTGGGGTGGCGCAAGGTCCCGCTCATCGTCCGCCCATGCTCTGCGCGGAGGGGAAGGTCGGCGGAAGCCTCCCCCGGGTGGCGGGCCAAACTGGTTCGGCGGACCCATGCCCTCTCCAGGCCTCCTCGGCCTCTCGTTCTCCTTATAACGGGGATGTCTGTCAGATCTGTCCGCACCGTAGGCACCGGGATCGCCAGATGCCTCGCTGCCTTGGTCTCTGGAAATAAAATCTGGCGCCTTGTTAGATTGAGATCCGGACAGGGGATCTCGCTCGTTCAGCTCCTGATCCGATTCTTCGTCTCCCCATCGCCCACTGGTAACCCGTTTCGTCGTCGCATCGCTACCCTGCGGCCTTTCCGTCGCCCGACCTGCCTCGTCCCCTCCACCCTGCTCCTGCGCCAATCGCGCCAGCTCATCCCCGCTATTAGCCTCTAATGCCTTGGTCTTCTTCTTGCCAGGGTGCTCCTTACCGCGTCCGACGCTTGGTACAGCACTGCTAGTCGACGCTTGCTTCTTTGCTGCGTCATCCAGTGAGGGAAAATCTTCCCCGCGCAAGACAACGCCGGCGTTTCCCGCGTTCGTGACAGCTGACGTGGAGGCTGACGTGGCACTGCTGCCGCCGCGCGAGCCCGGCGGTTGGTACACCCCTGGTCGGTGCGCCGAGGGGGCGCGATTCGGCTCGCCTACTGACGCCGCTGCAACTGCCGCCGCCGGTGCCGCGGCAGCTGCTGCTGAATTGGCCAGAAAGGCGTAGCCTTGAGGAGGCGGGGAGAGCGACACGCAACGCCTGGCCTCGTGAGTCGCACCGGACGCGCGAGCCGATGCTTCCCCCGCTGCTACTGCTGAAACCGCTGCTGCTGCTGATGCTGCTGCTGATGCTGCTGCTGATAGTGTCTGCTCCGCCGCGTGCGTCCCTTCCCCGTGCGGCTTCCCCCCCCCGGGTCTCTGCCATCCCGATACTACCGTACTGCTGGCGGGAACGAGCGAGACGGACGGATCGTTCCCCGCGTGCTCTCGTCGCAGCGACGGCAGGTTGACTGGCTTCGGCACCACCAGCTTCCCGCTCTTGCTACCCGCGGACGCTCCGGGAGTTGCGACCTTCCCCAGCACCATCATGCTTCCGAATGATCCTGACCGTCCGAATCTGGATCCGGCGGCTGTGGTTTGGCCGGGGCCGGAGTGGGAGTGGGAGGGGCTTTGCCTCCCGAAGGAGCTGTTGAGATTGACGCTCGTGAATTTGCTGCGACCCGACATGGCGGAATGTTACTGGTTGAGATAAGATACTGAGATAAGAGATCTGATCTGCTGAGATACGATTGAATGAAGAGATTTGGTACGATCTTAGACCGAGCATGGCAAAGCTTGCAGACGGTCAGACGGAGAGCCACGCTTCCGCTTCGTTCAAGACGAAACTTGACGACAGAGTATGAATGTTTTGTCGTAATGCTACAGATCGTTTCTTACGCTCCCGTGATTTCCGGCTGAACTGCAAGATTGACCGGACATGGATCTCTAACCTAGCCGAATTCCTGACTGACTTGTAGTTGTGACTTGGGTTTTTGGTATTCTCGAACAGATCTTTGGGTTTCTTGAGTACTTGCTGATCAGGGAGGCATGGGCTTTCCCAGTGTGCCTGATCAGCAAGTACTCAAGAAACCTTGAACGAGATTCGAGAGCCCATGCTCTCGAACTTTTGCGTGTTGCTACCCGAAAAAACTAAACATTCTTGCGATTGGTCAGCTTCCTCAACTGCACATGGCGAATCCAGGTTCCCTTTTTGTCTTCCCGCCAGCGAAATGCTGAGCTGACAGGCGGACGTGCGCGAGATGGTCAGGTCTGGCACCGAAATTTCTTCGACCCGTACTCTCTATTACGCATCCGCGTTATTGCCAGTTATCAGGCTTTCTCGTACACTCGGTAGAATCCACAACTCAGGCACTAACAGAAGGCTCTCTGCGGAACTGCACTTGGCCTATGCACTTAAAACCTTCCTAATCAATCAAATTTCTTCATGCTAACCGGGTCTTGATTCCTAAACGGTTGACGCGCACCCGGATTGGATCCTCGTCCTCCTCCAATGGCAGGTGCTTTGGAAACATAAACGTTGCAGCCAGACGAAGCTTCGTGTGCTTGCCTAGCCGAACCACCTGCTCGTCAAACTCCAAACCTGCAGCCGACGGAAAAGGAACAACGAAATGTGACACACGGAGGTGACCTGATGGGGGGAATAAAATCTAGTGAGGTAAAGGTAGAGAAAGAAGCACACATTCCCCTCTGCAGCCCAGGGAGGGGAAGCTGACACTCAGAATCCAAGCTAAGCCGCACGGTCCGCAGCCACACCAAAGAACAAGTAGTGCTTGGAGGGAGATGGAGGCCGGTCCTTATGGGGTTGGAGTTTCAAGAAAGAAACACGAGACTTACCGCTGGGGGAAGGACAGAAGCCGGTGCCTCTGGGTCTGTGATAGTTTACTGAGAATCATAATAAGCCTGGGGCTGAAGAGGCGCAGTGGGAGGTGTCCTCTTATGACATTCCAGCCTCTGGATGTGAAGAAAATGGATATATGAGATGCAGTGGACCGTCTCCTGACGACTTTTGAGTCGACTCAAAGTCACTTCTGGCTGTGAAGAGAACGGATGTATGGGATGCAGTGGAACGGATGTATGGGATGCAGTGGAACGGATGTATGGGATGCATTGGAACGGATGTATGGGATGCAGTGGAACGGATGTATGGGATGCAGTGGAACGGATGTATGGGATGCAGTCGAACGGATGTATGGGATGCATTGGAACGGATGTATGGGATGCATTGGAACGGATGTATGGGATGCAGTGGAACGGATGTATGGGATGCAGTGAAACGGATGTATGGGATGCATTGGAACGGATCAAGACATACCACCAGGGAGAGATGGAAGCCCGTGCCGATGGGGTTGAAGAGTCTATTTTTTAGGCGCCTCAAAAACAAGACGTGCCGCCAGGGGAGAGATGGAAGCCCGTGCCGATGGGGTTGAAGAGTCTATTTTTGAGGTGCCTCAAAAACAAGACGTACCGCCAGGGGAGAGATGGAAGCCCGTGCCGATGGGGTTGAAGAGTCTATTTTTGAGGCGCCTCAAAAACAAGACGTACCACCAGGGGAGAGATGGAAGCCCGTGCCGATGGGGTTGAAGAGTCTATTTTTGAGGCGCCTCCAAAACAAGACGTACCGCCAGGGGAGAGATGGAAGCCCGTGCCGATGGGGTTGAAGAGCCTATTTTTTAGGCGCCTCAAAAACAAGACGTACCGGGGAGAGATGGAAGCCTGTGCTGATGGGGTTGAAGAGTCTATTTTTTAGGCGCCTCCAAAACAAGACGTACCGCCAGGGGAGAGATGGAAGCCCGTGCCGATGGGGTTGAAGAGGTTCACTGACAGCCCCACTCCCGCTGCCCGGTCCCAGAAGCGGTTGAGGGAGCGCAGGGGCATGCTGCATGGGTGGGGGAGCAGTAACAGGGAGCATAGGGGGAGAGAGTAATTAACGGGGCACAATCTTTAGATGTGCTAGCTCAGGGGTGGAAGGGGTTCACTGAGAGCCCCACTCCAGCTGCCCAGTCCCAAAAGCGGTTGAGGGAACGAAGGGGCATGCTGTGAGGGTATGAGATCCGAGGGAATGTGGGGCATGACTAGGGATGTCAAAGTGTATGTGGGATTATGGGAGCAGCTACATGCAGTGTTGGACGAAAACAGTAGCACAACGAAGTATACAGTAAAATAAAGAATACATATAGATTTTGAGCAATATATAGAAATATCGAGTAATACGTAGAAGTGTACATAAAGCGGTATCCAACAATGCACACACTCACGTGTATCGAACATCAAGGGCAACGTTGGTGGTGCCGAGCCTCCATTTCCCCCGAAGCTCAATGTCAGGTTCGGGAAGCAGATGCAGGGCTACATGGGGAGTTCGGATACGCAGCTTGGGCTCCAGGCGGCTCCCATTCACCTCGTAGTTCGCCCCCACTGCCATGGCGCGTGTGTATGTGTGTGCATGCAGTGTTGGCATGTGTATGTGTGTGCATGCAGTGAGAACACCACTTGGATTCACCTCGTAGTTCTCTCGGATTCACCTCGTAGTTCGCCCCCACTGCCATGGCGCGTGTGTATGTGTGTGCATGCAGTGTTGGCATGTGTATGTGTGTGCATGCAGTGTTGGCATGTGTATGTGTGTGCATGCAGTGTTGGCATGTGTATGTGTGTGCATGCAGTGTTGGCATGTGTATGTGTGTGCATGCAGTGTTGGCATGTGTATGTGTGTGCATGCAGTGTTGGCATGTGTATGCGTGTGCATGCAGTGTTGGCATGTGTATGCGTGTGCATGCAGTGTTGGCATGTGTATGTGTGTGCATGCAGTGTTGGCATGTGTATGTGTGTGCATGCAGTGTTGGCATGTGTATGCGTGTGCATGCAGTGTTGGCATGTGTATGTGTGTGCATGCAGTGTTGGCATGTGTATGTGTGTGCATGCAGTGTTGGCATGTGTATGTGTGTGCAGTGCATGCAGTGTTGGCATGTGTATGCGTGGTGCGATGGGCACTATTTTTGAGGCGCCTCAAAGACGGGCACAAGAGAAATGGGGAAGGCAGGATGAAGGCTTGGCGCCGTAAACAGGGGCTCATACGGACAAGCAAGTCTGGTGTACGTTAGTACCATCATCAGAATCATCATGCCACCAAAGAGCCCACCTCCGAAGTTGAGTCCATAGGGAAGCCTCGGCTCCCCGGTCTCCTTACCCGGGAAGTCCCAAACCTGCATCAGCTTCAGCCGCACGCCCTCCCCATACAAACCACTGCTAATCTGGTCTTGACATGTTTCAAAACCCACCTCCAAAATTGAGCCCATACGGAAGCCTCGGCTCCCCCGTCTCCTTATCCGGGAAATCCCAAACCTGCATCAGCTTCAGCCGCGCGCCCTCCCCATATAACCCATGGTTGATCCCCTGTATCACGCCCCCCTCCTCCTCCTCCTCCTCCTCCCTCCTCCCCCTCCGCCCCCTCCTGCCCTGCCTCCTCGCCCGCCACACAGGCGAGCTGTCCCTCTGAGCGCCAAAGTAGGCGCTGCCGGTGCCGTTGCCGTCATCCTCGTAGCCGTCCTGGTTGTAGCGGCGGCGGCGGTGGGAGGTGGTGATTGGCCGGACCACGTCCACGCGGGCAACGGTGTGGGAGAAGGACCAGATGTACCCGGCGGCCTTGCCAAACACGTTGAGAAGCCGGTCTTGGATGGTTTCATATGCCACCACTCTGGGGATAGTGGGAGTGGCGAGGGAGGAAAGTCGGTGTGGGAGAAGGACCAGATGCACCCGGCGGCGGCCTTGGCAAAGACGTTGAGAGAACTCGGACTTGAATGGTCTCGTGGCCGACTACCTACACCGGATACATCTGGACTGGATACACGTACTTGATGGTAAGTGTTATAAGAGAAGAGATCAGCAGTGTTTGGCAAGTCCGCTGCTGAACGGTTTTGCATGCCGCCACTGCATACTGTACATGCTCACGCCGACCTGCCATCGGGGCATCACGTGGTGATGCACGTGCGGTCCCATCGGCTTGCCCTCACTCTCTGCATCTCCTCCCACCCCTCCCCCTAAGATGCAACCTAACTGGATCTTGCGCTGGCCTACCTGCCATCCGGCGTCACATGGTGGTGCACATGCGGTCCCATGGGCTTGCTCTCTCGCCCTCAATGCCTCCTTCCCCCTCCATGCCTACCTGCAATCCGGCGTCACATGGTGGTGCACATGCGGTCCCATGGGCTTGCTCTCGCCCCCAATACCTCCTTCCCCCTCCATGCCTACCTGCAATCCGGCGTCACATGGTGATGCACATGCGGTCCCATGGGCTTGCTCTCGCCCCCAATACCTCCTTCCCCCTCCATGCATCCCTCCCTCGCCCCCAATGCCTCGTCCCCCTCCATGCATCCCTGGTGCTGCCTACCTGCCATCGGGCGTCACATGGTGGTGCACGTGCGGCCCCATGGGCTTGCCATCACTCCCAATATCTCCTCCCACCCCTCCTCCTCCCATCACCCCTCCTCCCGTATCACCACCCCCTACGCCTGCACCCGAGGCAGAAAAGCCGCTAGAGACACCGCTTGCCATCCCAATGCCGCCGTTGCTGCCGTTTGATCCTAGTCCTCCCAGCCCTCCTGACCCCCCTAACCCCCCTGAATCCCCCGACCCAAATACGCCCAGGTAACGTTGGCCCTTGGGTGAGGGACTGCTGGGAGGAGACATTATGATTAGGCGAGTACGGGGGGTCTGCTTATAAGGAGAAGATGTGCTTATATCGGTCTGCTTATATCGATCTGTTTGTATCGGTCTGCTTCTATCGGTTTGTTTACTCGTGCAACCTGTGAATGATATTTCTGACGGAGGAGAGCGAAGCTGACGTCAGAAATCCATTCACGTCTCGCTTCAATGCACCAGCTATCTACTCCTCACTGAGGACCGCGAAAGCTAGGATTGAAGTTTTCTCACGCTCCGAAAAGCACCAAAAACAATGCGTCGGCAACTTCCGCTGACTTCCCGAATCGAGGCTTCATACAGCGCGTGCTAGCGTTAAACGCGCGAAACGAAGAACGGGAAGCCGCTCATACCAAGGAAGCACGGTATCTCTAGAACTACGGAACCGGGATGTCCCTAACTTGACGGTGGGATACGGTACGGGGTAGCTAGGCCCTTGGGACTAAATTAGTCCCTGACGCAAATCCTGCATTTGACCAGTTGGGCTGTCTGTCAGCAGACAGTTTCTCGTGATCCCACATTCTGACATCCTCGCTACAAGGTACCAGAAGATTCGATGAAAACGAGGAATTGAGCGTATATGTTAATAGCGAGTTCTCATCTTACATTTTCGAGTACATGAGACTTCGGAATGAGGGAAAGCGATCTAAGCACTTTGGGAGTTATCTGAAGGACTAAGTTTCCCCCTCGCAGAGGGGGGGGGAGGCGGGGCAATAACTAAGCCTACATCCATCACGACAAAATTGTCTAACAAATCCCTTCGCACTCGAAACTCTCTTCTAAGCGTGAGCATTGGCATGCTCTCCATACTGCAAAAACAGGGACGAGGGGAAGGAGGGGGAAAGATCAGGACCGATTGAGAGGTCAGGGCGAGAGGCACGGCATGGTATTTAAACATTGAAAGCAACTCGCTCCTGCGACCTGAGGAGTTGCATGCCGCCACAACCGCCATAACATGAAAATAGCAATTCAGCACATTACCTTGGCGCTCTTGTAGAGCTCATCAATGACCTCAGAGAGCGTGGGGTGGGCGTGGACAGCAAACTTGATGTCCTGGGAGGGAGAGAAAAACAACACAATAAAACGACCGCATAGGGAGAGGGGCAGATGAGCAAACAAACAAGCTCAAATGTTACACGTGTGTGACAAAAACGAAAAGAAACCGCAAATTGCCGCCTAAAAAACATATCTTCAGAAACCGCCTCAAATGTGATACATGTGTGATGTATAAACGTACGTTGAGGGTTTGGCCGGTGGCCATGGCGTTAGAAACCTCGTGAATGAGGTCAGCTGCGTGCAGCCCCAGGATGTGCACTCCCAGGATCTCCCCGGTGTCCGGGCGGTAGATCATCTGAGAGGGGAGGAGTAGCGTAACAGGTTCGAAGGGAAGGAGGAGGCAAGTCAACATGCAGTGATGTCAGCCCAAGGATGTGCACTCCCAGGATCTCCCCGGTGTCTGGGCAGTAGGTCATCTGGGAGGGGAGAAGGTACGTGACACAGCAAGGGGAAGAGAGTGGAATTGGATCCGCAGCGTGCAGCCCAAGGATGTGCACTCCCAGAATCCCCCCAGAGTCCGGTCGGTAGGTCATCTAAAAGGGACAGGGCGAGGAAGGAAGAGGTTATAAGGAAAGAGAAGGACAAGGGGAAGCAGAGTGGAAGGGGTCAGCTGCATGCAGCCCCACGATGTGCACTCCCAGAATCTCCCCGGTGTCCGGGCAATAGTTCATCTGACAGGGGAAGTGGTCGAGATAAGCAAGCGGTGATGCAGCAAGAGAGGGGGGGACAAGGTAGATCAGATGACAAGGGTGGATCAGCTGCGTGCAGCCAAAGGATGTGCACGCCCAAGGGGTGGGGGGAGAGGGAGGGGGGGAGGGAGGGAGGGGGGAGGGGGGGAGGGGGAGGGGAATGAAGAGTAAGGGAAGACATGTGGTTGAGGAAGGAGGGCAAGAGGCAGAGCTAAAGAGATCAGCAGCATGCGCAACAACAGTCGTGCAACAACAGTCATGCAACAACAGTCGTGCAACAACAGTCATGCAACAACAGTCATGCAACAACAGTCATGCAACAACAGTCATGCAACAACAGCCATGCAACAACAGCCATGCAACAACAGTCATGCAACAACAGTCGTGCAACAACAGTCATGCAACAACAGTCATGCAACAACAGTCATGCAACAACAGTCATGCAACAACAGTCATGCAACAACAGTCATGCAACAACAGTCATGCAACAACAGTGTGCATTCAAACCCTCACCTGCACCATGCCCTCTGCCTCATTCTCACCTTAGCCATGCTGCCGGCCTTATCCTCTGCCAGTTTGCCATGAAGCATGTCCCGTCTTTGGGCACCTCTCTTCCCCTCTCTCCCCTCTCTCCCCTCTCTCCCCTCTCTCCCCTCTCTTCCCCTCTCTCCCCTCTCTTCCACTCTCTCCCCTCTCTCCCCTCGTACCATCCTCTCTCTCTTCCTCTCACCTTAGTCATGACATCACCTTCATGGTTTATCACCCCTACCAAGCCTAGCAACCCCTTCTACCACTAGCTCACCTTAGCCATGCCGTCGGCCTCATTCTCTGCCAGCGCCTTGGAGTTGGCCTTGAAGCTCGTCTTGGCCACACTCACTTCAAAGCCCTCTACTGCTGCCCTGTCGCGCGCCTGGGGCTGGTACGTGGGCAAAAGGGGCAGGGATAGGGGGGACACAGCACAGCCCAACGACAAGGGAGTTGGCCTTGAAGCTCATCTTGCCCACACTCACTTCAAAGCCGTCCACTGCTGCCTTGTCCCGTGCCTGGGGCTGGAACAACGCCAAGGGGCGGTTGGGGCAGGGGGCGGTTGGGCCAGGGGGCGGTTGGGCCAGGGAGCGGTTGGGCCAGGGAGCGGTCGGGCCAGGGGGCGGTTGGGCCAGGGAGCGGTTGGGCCAGGGGGCGGTTGGGCCAGGGAGCGGTTGGGCCAGGGAAGGAGCGGTTGGACCAGGGAGGGAGCAGTTGGGCCGGGCAGGGAGCGGTTGGGCCGGGGAGGGAGCGGTTGGGCCGGGGAGGGAGCGGTTGGGCCGGGGAGGGAGTGGTTGGGCCAGGGAGGGAGCGGTTGGGCCAGGGAGGGAGCGGATGGGCCAGGGAGGGAGCGGTTGGGCCGGGGAGGGAGCGGTTGGGCCGAGGAGGGAGCGGTTGGGCTTGGGAGCGGTTGGGCTTGGGAGCTGTTGGGCTAGGGAGCGGTTGGGCTAGGGAGCGGTGGCTTGGGAGCGGTTGGGCTAGGGAGCGGTTGGGCTTGGGAGCAGTTGGGTTTGGAGCGGTTGGGCTTGGGAGCGGTGGGCTTGGGAGCTGTTGGGCTTGGGAACGGTTGGGCTTGGGAGCTGTTGGGCTAGGGAGCGGTTGGACTAGGGAGCGGTGGCTTGGGAGCGGTTGGGCTAGGGAGCGGTTGGGCTTGGGAGTGGTTGGGCTAGGGAGGCGCGAAGAAAAAGAAACAGCAGGAGTAACGGGGGATGAGGAGAGGAGGATGGGGAGTTACAGGAAAGAGAGGGCCGAGGAACAGCTCTTGTGCTGCTCCTCCATCCCTCTTCTTCCCATGCTTTCCCCTTTTCCGCACCCCCTTCTGAGGCGCCTCAAAAGCAGTCTCATTTAACGCCTATTTTTCCCATGCTTTCCCCTATTCCGCTCCCCCTTACCCGAGGGAGCCCGTCCATGCGGAGCTCAGGGTGAGTGAAACACGCAGCAGGCACGGACAGGTGGTTGAGCACATTTCTGTGGCCCTTAATGTTCCCCACCACGGATATGCCCTGCGCACTCGCTGCTCTCCAGGTGACGTTTGTCGACCCCAGCGCAACCGCTGCTCTTTCAGCACCTCACTGCCGCTCCCCCTTACCTCAGTCAAGCCAACCATGCTGATTTCGGGGTGCGTAAAGCAGGCAGCGGGCACAGAGAGGTGGTTGAGCACGTTGCTGTGGCCCTTGATGTTCTCCACCACCGAGATGCCCTGCGCACCCCTTGCTCTCTAGGCGCTTCTACTGCTTCCTCCCTCACCTCAGGGCACCGCACACAGGCGCTCCCCCTTACCTCAGTCAAGCCGACCATGCTGATCTCAGGGTGTGTGAAGCAGGCAGCGGGCACGGAGAGGTGGTTGAGCACGTTGCTGTGGCCCTTGATGTTCTCCACCACCGAGATGCCCTGCGCACTCGCTGCATGCGCCAGCATCAGCTTGCCATTGGCGTCGCCGATGCAGAACAGGTGGGGGATCTGGTGGTGCGGGAGGGGAGGGAGGCGAGAGGAGGGAGGGAGGGGAGGGAGGGGAGGGAGGGGAGGGAGGGGAGAGGGGGGAGGGAGGGGAGGGAGGGGAGAGGGGGGGAGGGAGGGGAGGGAGGGGAGAGGGGGGGAGGGAGGGGATGGAGGGGAGAGGGGGGAGGGAGGGGATGGAGGGGAGAGGAGGGGAGGGAGGGGATGGAGGTTAGAGGGGGGAGGGAGGGGAGGGAGGGGAGAGGGGGGGGGATGGGATGGGGGAAAGGGGAGGGTGGGCGAACGTGTTGGGCATGGGCACATTGGGCGCTTACCACAGCGCCATCCGAGTCCAGCACTTGCATCGTCTCATTCACGGGCACAGAGCCGCCATGTGCTGTAATTAGAGTCCTACGGCTTATCATCACAGGGGTCCAACTTCCTGCACACACTCACTCACCACACGGGTTAGCAGCACGCACTCACTCACCTCAGGGGTTAGCAGCACGCACTCACTCACCACGTTGCCATCAGTGTCCAGCATTTTCATGGTCTCATTCATAGGCACGAGCCTGTGATGCGTTGCAATGAACCTTTGATGCGTTGCAATGAACCTGTGATGCGTTGCAATGAACCTGTGATGCGTTGCAATGAACCTGTGATGCGTTGCAATGAACCCGTGATGCGTTGCAATGAACCTGTGATGCGTTGCAATGAACCCGTGATGCGTTGCAATGAACCTGTGATGCGTTGCAATGAATGACTAGACAAGGTTCAAGGTGCACGGGTTGGGTTTAGCAACCCACATTCACCTCATTGCCACACTCACCACATTACCACACTCACCACGCTGCCACACTCACCACGTTGCCATCTGAGTCCAGCACTTGCATCGTCTCATTCACAGGCACGAACCCACGGTTCGTAGTCACGTTCACCTGCGCGGGCAGTGTAGAGCGGGGGCCAGGGAGGAGGAGAGAGGAGCGGAGAGGAGCAGAGAGGAGCAGAGAGGAGCAGAGAGGAGCAGGGAGGAGAGACGGGGGAAGGTCACGGGGGGAGAGGGAGATGGCAGGGGAGAGAGTTGGGAGCAGACGAGAGATGAGTTGCTGCGAAGGGGCAGCTGGGGGGACGATGGGGAGCAGGAGCACTTTGATGCAGAGGAGGAGAATTCTGATGTGGCTCAACCATGGAAGCACACAACAGCAGCAGCAGCCAACATAAACGTGCCAACCAAGGGTTG